TGAAGTGAGTGCTCTTACCACTGAGCTACAGGATTCCACAAATAAATGATAGTAGGAACTGGGATCCAAAGGAGTAGGTCTTGCTTTGATGAGATATGATTCCTGTACAGATCAATTACAACTGATCATACAAGAGTGACATCTGTCAGCCTCAATTAATACTATAAAGACAAAAATCTAAATAGCATTGTAATACTGTAAAACAATTACGTTTGTATCAGAGTTTAGGCATTGAAGCATTTCACATGTGTTTTACCTTGCTGGGGTACTGTGCAACTTCTGAAGCTGGGAGAGGGTATTCCCTCCAGTTCATGCTTGAGATTAGATTTGTATATTGCACCCGTCCTTCAGCATCTTTAAACCTTAAAACATTTAGAAACAAATTCAATAGACATGAGTAAAAGTGCAGTGGTAGTGTAAATAATTAGATTCTACTTTCAACCCTGAAACACAGAGCATTCATCTATTTTTTGCCTGTTACATTCCATCATTAGAACCTGTATGGATCCCAAACAAACACTTACACCACAACTAAACAATAATATTAAACACAAATATACTTGCTTTGAACTTGCTTTGACAGAAGTGCTTCATCACTTCAAAACATCTCCAAGTGTTTTATACAATAATTTAATTTGAATTACAATAACATGATCAATAAGAACAAAGTTTTTAAATTGAAAAAAGTCCCCTCCAAGAGCTCATGTTAGCATTCAATATGCCTATATAGCAAGGCTTTCACTTTGTAACTTTAATTACTCCACAGGTGGGTCATCATGGTTCAGGTGAACAACAAGACTGTGTGCTCCTGGCTGCTGAAGTATGTGAAGTCTTCGCACTCACACTACAAGTCTAACTTAAGTTAATAATAATAATCCTTGCATTTGATATAGCGCTTTTCACGTCTTCTAGACGTCTCAAATCACTTCACAGAATTGACTGTAAAGAGAATTGACTGTACACTTGTAGGCGAAACGTGTATATCCCATGGCACTATTTAAAAAGAGGAGGGAGTTTCTCCCAATGTCCTGATGCGCAATCTCCCAAATTAAACTGGTCACACACTCTAGGGCTGTTTGTGGAACATTTCATCCACAAAAAACACTCCACTTTACAATGTACCCTGTGAAGCTCTTTGAGACATTTCAACAAAGTGATAAGGTGCTATATCAAATGCAAGGATTATTATTGTTGAAGAGAGCAGTGGTTTGTGTTCTGAAGTAAATATATTTCTTCCAATAAATTACAACAGACTCCTGTACTTAAAGGTAAATGTAAATGAACACAGTTTTACAGGAGAGGTGAATTTCAGTCCATCTCCAAAAGACTCAGTTGCCTGATACGAGGTGAGACCCACCGTCCCTGTGATCTTTGCAACATCTCCTTTCCAATGTCTGAAGACAGTGTAATTGAGATTCTTGCTGGTGAATTCCAGAGCCCACCAGATCTCTCCTGGCTCATTGCTGTTCCAGAGCAGGAAGTGGAGGTGTTAAGCCTCTAGTGATGGTATTTAGTGCAGTTCCAGCTTTTACTGTTAGAAATTTCAGAAAGTTCCAAATATGACATTGTATGTCCATGGGTAAGACTTTTGGAACTATTTATTTCTATGAACTGTTTCCAAAATAACTGGAATAGACTTCGGGAAATATCAACTTTGCTCCAGTACGTTGTCCCCAATTCTGCGACACTGATTTATGTAGCAGCAATAGTCGGGTGGGCAGGATGGAAGCATATTGATGCAATGCATGTGTCACAATTGTGTTAGCTTGGGCCCAAAACACTAACTGTCAGCGCTTTGGGACATCCTCCTGACGTGAAAGGCACTATACAAATGTCATTTTGTTGTTGTTGCACCTATGCAAAGATGTCATCATGCTGGCTTGGGATGCATCTTCTCATTCTTTGGATGTTGGTGAAGAAATTAGTCCAGGAAGTCACACTCTGGGAAAATAGATTTGCCATTACCAGTAAATTAGTAATGACAAGTGACATTAAAAATGTGTTCAGTGCCTGTTTTTAGCCCCAAGATAGATCAATGTGCATGTTCAGCTCAAACGTCAGAGCTTTCTGTGACTTAAAATACATTCTGTTCTTGTTTTGCATCCCCCTAAATGTAAGTAAGCTTTCAACAGTAATAAAGAGGATAATTACACTCGCACAATTGTTTTAAGAGTTAAGAAATGTTGCTGAATTCAGGGAACTGAATTAGCATTGGCTGGGGCTGCAATTAGTAACTTGCCCCATTTCAGCATTGACTCCATCTGTTCAGCTCTGGCTCAGATGAGCTGAGGAAGTCCTCCAAGTTAGGTACCCTTTATGCCCTGAGCACTCACTGCTGAAAGCATTTTATCTATTAACTAGCTGTACCCGTTGCAGCTTCGCTTGCAACCGAAGGATCCAATATGGAATATAGATTGACAAATAGACATTTTGTTTAGACATTATACTCAGCTGGGAGGACTCCTTTTGGGAGGACTCTAGAAAATCTTAAAGCAATGATTCTTGTTTTTTTTTCTTTGATGAAAAGAGACACAACTTGTGCAGTTCTTTGGTTTGTGTCTTTTAATTATTAGCAGGCAGAAAATGAATGTTTTTTTAAAAAAAACTACCATGTGGGCAACACCTATGAGCTTTTGAGACCAGGGATGGATTTATGTTTCTCTTTCATTTCAACCCTCCTCTCCCTTTTTTTGAACTGCAATGTGGAAGCACATTGGTGCTCCAACCATGCATTCTGGGGGGGGGGGGGGAAGAGGGTGGAAAGGGAGTTGATTCAGGACATCAGGCTCTTCCTGAGCTTTAACAATGTCCATCCTAGGAAAAACCTCTTAACTTTCTAAGTATAAAAATGTATCTTCGCACCAGATGTGGAGATTAGATTACACAATGTTGGAAGCGAGAGGAGAGTGGGATCATATTGAGATGGTACTCCAAATTGTATCACTTCAAACAATGCTACGTTGTTCCTTTATTTCTCCCCTCTGCCCCCATCATCTCCAAAGGTGTTTGACTCCTTTTCTGGAGTTCCAGGAGCCTCTGATGCTTTGCCACATTATTCTTGCGTCAGCCTGGACAGTGCCATTGGGGACCCCAGTCTCTCCCTCTGGATATTCATCAACGCTGCAGAGCTTCAGTGCGGAAATACTATTGAACAAACGTAAACTCCAAAATGTTTCACTTTGTGCTGAGCTGCTGTTTGCCAGAATGTTTTTCGTAACCTTTTCAGTATACTTTTACTTCATATCGAACAATTAAAAAAAACTTTACAGGGAACAAATCTAAGAATACGATTTTTGGGGAACTAATTGAAATTGGGGATTTACCAGATTTTACCTTGCATGAAGGGCATTATATATATGCAAGTTGTTGTTGTTTTTAACTTTTTTGTTGTTTCAGAAATGTTGCTTGTGTTTTGCTTATCCCTTGAAACAGTTTAATAATTTTCTTCCACCATAGGATAGTGTTAAGAGTCTTAATCATAGGGATTGTGTTCAGATATGGGAGTTTGCACATGTGGTTGACCGGGGTCTGAAATACTGAGAACCGGTCCTGGCTTAGATGTTATTTTGTGTTGTATAAAACTCTTATTTAACCCTTGCAGGTACTACGCTGTCCTCTACCCAATGGTTTATCCTATGAAAATAACTGGAAATCGCGCCGTTGTCGTGATTATGTACGTGTGGCTTCACTCGCTGATCGGATGCCTCCCCCCTCTCTTCGGCTGGTCCATGTTTGAGTTCGACCAGTTCAAGTGGACCTGCGTAGCCTCCTGGCACAGAGAGGCCGGCTACACTGCCTTCTGGCAGATCTGGTGTGTGCTGCTGCCGTTCCTGGCCATGCTCGTCTGCTACGGTTTCATATTCCGTGTGGCCCGAATGAAAGCAAGGAAAATCCACTGTGGAACGGTTGTTGCTGTGCAGGAGTCCAGTAAGGATAGCCGGAAAAATTCCAATTCTTCTGCCTCTTCCTCAGGGAGCAGAAGGAACACAATCCCAAATATTGTGTATTCAGCCAACCAGTGCAAAGCCCTGAGCACCATTTTGATTGTGATTGGTGCCTTCATTGTCACATGGGGACCTTACATGATGGTGATTAGCACTGAAGCTCTACATGGCAAAGGCAGTGTCTCGCCAGGGCTAGAAACACTGGCAACTTGGTTATCCTTCACTAGTGCTATTTGCCATCCACTTATCTATGGACTGTGGAATAAAACCGTGCGTAAAGAGCTGCTGGGCATGTGCTTTGGGGACAGATACTACAGGGATTCATTTATTCAGCGTCAGAGGACTTCCAGGTTATTCAGCATCTCCAATCGCATCACAGGTAAGCTAGAAAACAGGACTGGATATAAATCTTGGTGGTGATAGAAAATATGTTTATTTCCTTGCTCCCCCTCCCCTCATGGTCAATGTTTTGAATTCATTGCTTTAGGACACTGATTAGTAAAGAGTACCTAGAGCTGGAAGGTATTGAAGGGTGGATTGAAGGGACATTCTGTGACGTGCCTCTTAAATAAAACATTATTTCCATAGATTTAAAGCAGCAGTAATCTTTTTTTTCGCAACCATCTGGTTTGTCAGTTTCTCATGGAATTGCTTGCAGTTGAACAGTCAGTTATCCTTGTGCCCTTTGCCCAATTGATAGAACATTCCTTAAGAAAATCATTACTGAAATTGCAATTTTTTTTGACAAGACTTTCTCAAATGCTGTGCAGTCTCATTCTTTCATCAGAAAGAAGCTTGCTACAAGGTAGAGCCAGATGAATAATGGAGTTTGAAAATGTAATTATTAAGGTGAAATCCTGGCACCAGACTTGCACATTACAAGAATCAATAAGGAATGGGTATGATGGGGGGAGGGAGCAGAAGAGAATTGGGGAACAATTTGCTTGAATATATATAGTTGAACAGAAGTAGAAATTATAATTATGCCCTGCAGTTTTAATACTTATTTAAAGTGTATGTACACACTGCCTGTCTATGTATGTGTGTGTGTATATATAATCATATATATATATAATTTGTAGAGTTGGAGCTTCTCACAGGTGCTTTGACAATGATCTAGTCACAAATAATTGATTGTAGAGAAGTTTTGAGGCAAGCGGATGGATCCTGTAGCTCAGTGGTTAGAGCACTTGCCTCACAGGCGAGAGACCTGGGTTTGATTCCTGGCAGTGCGAAATGTTGGGCAAGTTTCTTTACTCCACACGCCTCTGTTTACCTAGCGTTAAATACGAACCCGGGTGTTGGTTGATTGGCAGATCGCTTTTTCAGGGGTAATAATTTCTTCAAAAAAAATAAAATAATAACTTCAATCCACGACTGTTTGTGGGATACCGCTGTGCACAATTGGCTGCCACTTTTCGCCTACAAAATATACAGTCAATTCTCTTTACAGTATATTCTGTGAACCACTTTGAGACGTCTCGAAGACATACATAATAAGGCACTATATCAAACGCAAGGATTATTGTTATTATTATCCACATATCAAATCATTCCAAGATTTTTTGATGTCTTCCGAACAAAAGTCCAGTATTTTGTTAACCCTTTATAGGACTACAGGGGCATTTTTCTTTTATCCATCTAAGAACTCTGATCGTTTATTTGTAGAATGCCGTGAATTGAAGACTTGCTCCTCTATCCTTGCTTAAAGTATTGAAAGGTGCTCCTTTAGCAAATGGAGAGGTTGAAGTTGAGATGCCGATATGAACCTGTGTTCACTGAGATCCTGTGGAAGCATGTTTGCTTCTTTTGGTGATAATTGCAGTGCCCCAAGATGCATGAAGCACAAGATATTGTTTACGAATTACAACAACAAAATTTACATTTATATAGCGGCCTTCACGCGGGGCAGTGACTCGGAGCACTCGACAGTGTTGGAGCCTGATGCCGAGCCGGGTGGAGTGAGGAGGTGACCGTAAGCACGGTTGAAGAGGAGGGTCTTCACTCGTGATCTAAAATGGAGAGAGCAAAGCGGAGGGGAGCTTTGGGACATAAAGCTTCGGGACATAAAATCTGAAAGCGCAGCTGTTGATGGTGGAGCAGAGGGGATGAGGGACAAAGAGGCCAGAGCCAGTCGAGGGAAGGCAGGGGATAGTGGAGTGGGGAGAAAGCAGGTCAGAAAGGTAAGGAGGTGCCAAGGCATGAAGGGATTTGTAGTGGAGCGAGAGGATCTTGAAATTGATCCGTTGTGATAGGGAGCCAGAAGAGCCTGTCGAGGAATGGGGGATGTGGAGCTCAGTGTGGGTGAAAATATGAGTGGTGGAGTTCGGATTCAGTTGTCGTTTGTGGGTGGTGGAGCTGGGGAGAACAGCGAGGAGGGCATTGGAGTAGTCGAGGCTGGAGCGTTTTGCACATCAGAGGAACATAGTGCCATGCTGTAAGATGGTGCATGTTTGTTTTCTCCTCCATTAAGTTCTTAATTTGAGCCCTACTGCCTTTGAATGGGTGGGGAGTGATCGGCAGGGGTGGGGAAAGGACAATCTGTCTACTGCACTGCTATCATGTGAGCATGCTGTTTGCACACTTTGTAAATACATCCTATTAATAATAATATTTGCATTTAATATAGCGCCTTATCACATCTTCGAGACGTCTCAAAGCGCTTCACAGAATATACTGTAAAGTGAATTCACTGTTTATTCTATGGGTGAAAAGTGGGAGCCAATTTCACGCACAGCAGCGTCTCACAAGCAATCGTGGATTGAGTGACCAAATTATTATTATTTTAAATTATTTTGAGGGGGATTATTACCCCCATAAAAGTGATCTGCCAATCGACTAACAACCGGGTTCCTACTTACTGCTAGGTAAACAGAGGTGTGTGGAATAAGGAAATTTGCCTAATGTTTTGCCCGGCCCAGGAATCGAACCCAGATACTCTCGCTTGTGAGTCGAGTGCTCTAACCAATACACTAAAGTTCTCCACCATATATTGAAGTTGCAATATGCCTGCAGCAGTTTGAGGTTCTGAAATGTTTCCATTAAAATAGGCTATTAAACTAAATAAGTCTGATCATTTTAGGAGATCCCTGTGTTTTTGTGGCCCTAATTTTAAGCTTTCGAACAAGACGTTTAATCTATAAGCACAGCTGAGCTTTGTGTTGACTCTGCAACAATGGTGAAAATTAGAGGACGCTCCACAAAACAACAAATTGCATTTATACAGCGCTTTTCAAGTCAGGAGGACATGGCAAGGTTCTGGACAGTCAAGGGTTTGCAACCTAAGCTGGGGGTTGGATTTGAGAGAGATGGAGACCAAGGCAGGTTGGGAGTGACGGGGAAAGATGACCAAAGGCGCGGTCAAAGAGGGACTCTGAGATAGTCATTTATATACACTTGTATTTTTAAATATTTTTTCTTCTCAAGGTCAGGAATATCGGTATTCATAAATGTTTATTCAATATCAGCACTGAAGCTTGGTCAACTATGAACACTATATCCCTTACTCACAATGTATCTTTCTTCCATCTCCCACATTCACTGTCCATATGGCTTATGTAAGACTGACCATTAAGTGCTTATTTCTGTGTAAACATCAACAACAACAACTTGCACTTATATAGTGCCCTCCACGCAAGGTAGCATCTCAGAGCGCTTAACAGTTGGTGGAGCCTGACTCCGAGCCAGGGGGAGGGGAGGTGGCTGTAAGCACAGTCGAATAGGAAAGTTTTCAGGTGGGACTTGAAAAAGGGGAGAGATGGGGCAAGGTGGAGGGATTGAGGAAGAGTGTTCCAGAGTTTTGGGGCGTAGTGGCTGAAAGCACGACCTCCAATAGTGGGGCGGAGGGTGCGAGGGAGGAACAGGAGGCCAGTGCCAGTCGAGCGGAGGCACCGGGTGGTGGAGTGAGGAGGTCGGAGAGGTAGGGAGGTGCCAGAGAGTGAATAGATTTGAACACGAGAGTGAGGATCTTGAAGTCAATCCGTTCAGTGATGGTTAGCCAGTGGAGACTGGCCAGAACTGGTGAGATGTGGGTATTGAGTTTGGTCTGGGTCAGTATGTGGGTGGCAGTTTTGAACAAGCTGGATCTTGTGAATGGTGGAGCTGGGGAGACCAAAGAGAAGTGGGTTGGAGTAATCCAAGTGGGAGGTGACAAACGTATGCATGAGGGTTTCGGCAGCGTTTGGAGTAAGGCGGGCAATGTGATGGAGGTGGAAGAAAGCCGTCCTGGGCAGGGACCGGATGTGGGGGAGGAAAGACAGTTGGGGGTCGAACTGGACGCCTAGGATGTGCACTGGTTCGGTGAGTCTGAGGGAGAGCCCAGGGAGGTTGAGGAGTTTAGATCTGCAGGAGTGAAGATGTTGACAGGAGCCAAGGAGTATGGCTTCCGTTTTGTCCATATTTAGCTCAGGAAGTTTAAACTCATTCAGGCCCTGTTGTCTGCCAGACAAGCTGATAGAACATTGGCGGATCTGCAATTGGTACTGGAGGAGGCAAAGCAGATTTGTGTGTCATCCGCATACAGAGGGAGCATATAGATCAAGAAAAGAAGAGGGCCAAGGATGGAGCCCTGGGTACCCCGCAGGTGACTGGGTGAGGGTGGGAGGAGAAACCATTTGCTGAGATGAAATGGGGGCGGTTGGTTAAGTAGGACTCGAACTATACGAGTGCGGTCCCACTAAGGTGGATGAGGGAGGAGAGCCGATGGAGGAGGATGGCGTGGTCGACTGAGAGATCCAGGAAAACGAGGAGGCAGAGGGAGCCCTGGTCACAGATAGAGAGAATGTCGTTTGTGACTTTGATAAGCGCTGTCTCTGCTGTGGAGAGGGTGAAAACCAGACTGCAGGGGCTCGAGGAGGGAGTGGAGAGAGAGGTGTGACCGAAGTTGACCTGCAACAATGCGTTCCAGGACTTTAGGAAGGAAGGGTAGGTTGGAGATGGGATGGTAGTGTGAGAGATTAGAGGGATCAAGGGTGCGCTTTTTGAGGAGGGGTGTGATTACAGCGGGTTTCAGGGTGAGTGGAACGGAGCCTGAGGAGAGAGACTGGTTGACCGTGTCGGCCAGCAGGGGGGAGAGAAGGGGGGAGTTGAGTGACCAGCAGCTGGGTGAGAAGGGGGTCGAGGCAGCAGGTGGTGAACTTCATCCGGGTGATCCAGGTAAAATGATTGAGACACTCTGCTGTGGAGCCATTCGGATAAGACTTCTCTAAGAACCCTTAAAGCTTAAAGCCGTCACAGAGGGAGAAATAGAGACCTTCAACCCCTCATTCTGGATTTGATTCAAACTCATACCCAAGAAGTGAAAGGAAAGTGTGTTTGCCTACAACCACCCAGATGTCAGTGTCATTTCCAGATGGGCAGTTCAATGCAACAACTTGCACTTATATAGCGCCCTCCAACACAGGGTAGCGTCTCAGAGCGCTTCCTTAGTCTTCTGGGAAGTTATCTGTTTAGCAGCTGTTAGGTCTTTTTGAGGTTCAAACCATTGATAGGCAAAAAAATGATTTGGTTGGATTGTGAGCTGTTTCTAGGGGTATATTTTATATTTATATTTTACATTCTCCAAAATATCGATCCTTATACAAGTACAACATATTGTGCTGTTTTGGTTCAGGGATGTTATGGTCAATTTGTAGCAGCAAAACAGCTGCTCTGTCTGAGATCAGCTAATCCAACCATCTTGTGTGTGAGGATAGAATTGACCTATGCAGCAAAACCCTCCATGATCAAATCGCTTGCAGACACTTGCTGTTTGGGATCAGACATGAAGAATGATAACTTGTCAAGTTCCAGAGTGCTGGTAACACTCCTGGGACCAAACCAGGCAAAATCCAGCATCTTCAGGACAAGAGAAGAGGAAACGATTGACCAAAAGTAATGAGCAGTGGCTTGAGAACAGTCTTCCANTTTTTTTTGCAGCATAAGTTGATGACTGTTGATTTGCCAGTCGGAGATTGTTCAAATGTCAAAGGAGTATGAATTGCAATGCCTTCACTTCTCCAGATCAGCCAACAATTTAGAAAAAACTCTGCTGCCCTCTCAGATGCACAAACAGATGCATGTCGCTAATTTGGGGAGTTTTAAAAAAAAATCAAGTTAATATCTCATCCAAGACTGCGCCTATTGTTTGTGTGTGAGAGAGGTGAATGTTTCATGAGTGTGTGTATAGTAGATCATGTTAATTCAAATAATTGTCATTCATGGATTTCATTGTGATCATGGGTATTTTCAAGGGATATTTAGAATAATACAGAAGCATGACAGAGCAACTAATATCAATGAGATTATTCCTGTATTGCATTGGTGGGCTGACTCGGGTTTTATACAATAATTGGATTGCTGGATTTGAGACTAGATCACAGCATTACACGGTTTAGATTATGTAGGTGCTGAGCAATGTGAACCATCTCCTGATAGCATTAGTTTGTTAGACTCAGTGGAGGTGGAGTGATAGCTCTGGAAGCCTTGTGGGTTGGTGAGCCGCACAGTTGCTATGGTGTGTTGCTAAGATTCTCTGTGGCCCTACAAAAGACCTATTACATGGGTGCTGAGGTCACTTGCATGTTCTATAAAGAGAATTTACGTAAATCTCTATATTTAGGAATGAACATAAATGATATTGAATGGGTTGTTGAATGCAAATACTTAGTTCAGTAAGATTTTGTGAGATTTACTGACTGACCGTGCATAGCATCCCCTTTGTTTACTGCGTACACGTTGAGAATATTTTTCCTCCAATAAAAGCAACTGGTTCTGAACATCCTATGAACATTGTGTTCTATCCTTTGGACAGATTTGGGTCTCTCTCCTCATCTGACGGCTCTGATGGCTGGTGGACAACCACTGGGACACAGCAGCAGTACAGGAGACACTGGATTCAGTTTGTCTCAAGACTCAGGTAATTGTTGCTTCCACTTCTCTTGGCTATTGCTGGTGATCTTTAAATGAATCAATCTACTTTCTTGCAGCAGAAAATTAAACATGGAGGATAATGAAATATAGCCTTATGTGAAAACTCATCAAAGTCTTCTGTCAAAACCACTTGGAAAGTGGGCATCAATATAAATGTGGTATTTTGAATTTCCATTGTTGCTAATTGCTTTCTGTCTATTTAAATGGAGTTCTACATTGTAGAAAGCACAACTTTGAAATGTATCCTCCCTTGTGTGGATTTTGATTCATTTTCTGATGTCATTGTCTAATTTAGCTGTATGATCAGTAGTAATTACAGTTGAATTGCCTGAACCTGGAGCACTTTGAGGCAGAAGCTCTGTTGTCACCCAGTGTCAATGCTGACAAATGCTGTTTGAGCACAAGTAGTGTTAGCCATGAAATTTTTAATGTTGTTTTTCCTCCAGTGTATGTCACTGCTTATTTAATCTGTGTTAACTTGTACTATCAATACTAAAAGACTGTATGGGAAGATTACTCTACCAGTATCTCCTCAACAGGATGTCTACTTTTATTTTCCTACGAACTTCAAATGTCAGTGCTCCCAGGCAAAGGTCATTCCATTGCCAACCCCAATGGGAACCATCACTGTTAATACAGTATAAAATGACATTTGCCTTGGACTTTCAAAATCATTAAAAAAAACTCATTTCATCTGAGCATTCACGTTGGAAACATTGACACACACATCAGGCAATCCGATACTATTGCATTTTGTATTACTCGATACAACAAAATATATGTACATATATTGACTATGTTCCTTGTTGTACCAGTGTGTTCTTATAATCAAATACCAATTGATCTAATCACAATATTTCAGGCACTGATGTAATGCTGTTAGAGGATTTCACTTCAGATGGGTCTCATTTCTCTCATCACGGCAACTGCTCAAATCGGAGGCGAAGTTCTGGGACAATTGATGAACTCCCAGAACCACAAGGTATGGGAATGTTTTATAGTATCTTACATGAAAGCATTTCATAGTATTTCCCAAGATATTAGTCTACTGTCAAGTGTATTGTTTTTGTAGGAATTGTGTGAGTCTTTAGCACCTGCAAAATCCAACAGACAGGAATAAGGTGAATGACCAAATAATCTGTTGTACATTGGGAAAGACTTCCTCGTCTTTTAGAATAGTATCATGAGATCCTTAACATCCACCTGTACAGGGAGATGAGACAAAGGATGACCCTCTGACAATGCAGAGCTCCCCTAGTAGTTTACTGGATTGTCAGCTACACTGTAAATATCAACATAGGACTTGAACCTTCTGACCCAATCTAATATCAGGCCTCATGAATAACCTGCTTTTGGTTTCCTGCAGTCTAGGTACTGTATTTTATATGGTTTGATAAATTCAATGGAAACTTTCCACAAGTTTTTTTAAAAAATGACACTTTAAAAGGAATGCCAATCTTGTGCTTTCTTCATGTTGGAGGTTACTGAGGTCCCTTGATTCTCTGTCTGATACATCAGCCCAATCCATTATGTCTTCATCTTCTTCTCTGCCTGCTTATTGATCTGTTTGCATCCAATATTTTCAGACAGTAGTAGCACAACACAATGCAACTCATTAGTGAGGGCACCTGAAAAACATATGCAATCTTTTTTCTTTCCTTTGACAGCCTTTCTGCTAGTGATACAAGTGAATAAATCCATTTGCTGCTGTGAAATTTTTTTGATCATCTCCAATTCTGTTCTTGTGCAGAAGAAGCTGACCAGCCTGATGTCATGCAAATCAAAGCAGATGTTCACAAATCTCTGGACAGTTTTGCCTCCAGTTTGGCCAAAGCTATTGAAACTGATGCCAAAATTAGCCTCTTTGGAGAGAGCAGTTTGTCTGGAGATTTATTTACCGTAATCACAGGTGTTCCTGGGGGGACCGGAACCCAGAGAGGAACAAGAGTCTCTGCAGGTCAGAGAATGAGATTGGAGAGTATTGATGAAGGAATAGTTCATGATGGCACAGAAGAAAATGTTTGAGAGGACCAAAAGATGCGCTTACCATATGGAAAAGACATGGCATTAACCTCTACTTCACCATCAATGCTAAAGAGATCCACTCGTATGCTTCAGTCTGCTGTACACTTGTTTAATTATTGATATAGACTAGGAAATGACTGTAAAACAATTCAGATTTAGATAGTGCACTGAAAGGTTGGAAAAACCAAAGAGAGTGTGTTTACAGCTATCATCAGTGAATATCTTCAAGTTATTTCCTGTAATTTAGTTCAATGTATAGACAAAGCTACTTTGACAGAAAAAAATTGAGAAGGTTGGTAATGTGCCAATTCTGAAGTTTCTTCATGCTCCTTACCTCCAGTGGTATTCTGTGCTTGATGGATTATTGATGTCCTGTTCAGTGCACGATTGATGCAGTAAGAATTGTTGTTACTCTGCTAGAGTAGTACCCACATGTCACTCTACAAAGGTTTCTCCATAAACTGGTGGGAGATGGGTTGCTTCACTTCGTTCCAGTCAATAGTAATGCAGAAAATCTTAAAAGCATGAGAGATGGGGGTGGTAAGGAATAAATTGAGAACAAAAATTGTGTGGCTCAGATTAAAGATAAAGGGTGGAAGCAATACCAATTTAAGATTAGTCAATTAGAAGTGAGGGAGAGCATTTCTGGTCTATCGGCACGTGCCCGCTCACTGTCTTAATACAGAAATTCAGATTTTTCTAACTGAGACAAACATTCAAGAAGGCAATGAGCAAATGCTTCATTTTTAGTAGTAGTGAATATTATTGGATGGTTATGGAAAGTTGTAGAGTCCATAGGTTTCCACTACATGCAGCTCAGAACACAAGGATTACAACATTTAAATTATAGCTCTTGAATATAGAAATGTGTCCTTGTGGTGTTTTGCAGGCACTCAGTATCAAGTGTCTAGTTTACTTATTTCCAAACCATGTGCTACTCTGCAGGGCTATTTTTTTCAAGTGTGTATTGTAGTTCATAAATAAGGATGATCATGTGCTACTAAAGTAAATGTATGTGAGAATTTTAGTCAATTAGAACAAATGGAATTTGTCACCATCTTTTATATTAAAATAAACTTTTGAAAGTTATAGAAATGTTCATTCAGATGTTGTATCTATTAAAAAGATTTGATTTTTTTTGATGCCATTAATTCAGCTTTCCACCTGCTAGCTCCCAAGATTTGTGGGTGTGAATAACCCCTTTCTGGTGCCTTTTTCCACAGCCATCTTAATTCAAACTCAGCAGACGTTTTGACATCTAGGGGTATTACATGTACCAAGGCAAAAAAATTGAAGTACTTAGTTTCAGTTATAATGGGTGAATATCATAGTTTTTGTACACAATACATGCTTGGCAAGATTTACACAAAATGGTGTCGGACAGGAGGCTGGCGTTGTGAGGACAGCCCCAAACAGTATTGCAAAAACAAGTGAAAAAAGAAAACGTTTTTTGCAATCCAGATAGGTGGGAACCACAGGGTGCGACTGGAGCAGTGCAGGGAGCCTGGAGCTTTTGGGCTCAAGGCCTCCCGCGTTGGGTGTGCTTGGAGTGGAGACCGAGACTCAGGGGAGACTGAGGTCTGCAGGCGAGGAGCTCTCTAGGGCTCACGGCCTCCCACAGTAGGTGCTTCTGGAGTGGGGATCGAGGACAACACTGGCATAGGGCCTGAAGCACCACCCCAACAGGAACTAGATCCAACGTGGAGACCAAGGCCTACCTACCGGCAGTGCATAGCCAACTCGGGATCCGTAGCCTCCGCTGGCCCAGGCGCCAACACAGCCATTTCAGAATTCAACGAATCACCAGTCGACTGCTGCACGACATGACTTCCGCCCGCCACATTCAAAACTCTGAGACTAGATTCACGATGACTATCGCACCCTCCTTCCCCATGACAGCAGACTGACCATGCTGACCGCCTCACCGCCCCTAGACTCGGGTGCATACTTTGGCTGCTGCCACTGACCCAAGCTGCTTCTCCCAAAAATGCTTCCACCCGGTCCCCCACCCTCCACTACTCCCGCTCAACCCTTCTCTCTCCCCGCCCTCCTCGCCTCCTATCCCTGCTCGACCCTCTCACTGCGTCCTTCTGCCCTAGCCTGCGAATCCTCCATCATGCCGACCGTGGCAGACGCTGCTGTTGTCGAACAGGCAGCCACTCTAACTGCCCCACCTCCGGCACAAAGCTCTTCAGATCTCCTGGACATCTGCTGCCTTCAACATCGTTGACCACTATCCTTCTCCACCACCTCTCCTCTCACCCTTCATGGTTCAGTCCTTGAATGGTTCAGATCCTACCTCTCACACCACGTTCACGGCTTCTCCTCTTCGTCGCATGCGGAGTTCCTCAGGGCTCTGTCCTTGGAAGATTCCCTCGTCTTCAATGTCTACGTGCTCCCTATTGGTGACATCATCTGCAGACATGAGGTCAACTTCCCACATGTATGCAGATGACACCCAACTCTATCTCTCTGCCTCCACCCTTGACTCCAGGACCACTGCTGTCCTGACAGAATGTCTATCAGACATCATGACCTGGATGAGAGCTAACTTTCTACAGTTGAAAGTCATAAAGACCGAGGCCCACCTGATTTGCTCCCGCCAGCACCTCCACACTTCAGGCACTGACAGCATCACCATCCATGGTTGCACACTCCACCTTACTGAGCCAGTCCAGAACCTTGGGGTCTTGTTTGACCCTCAACTATTCTTCCTACTCCACATCCATGCCATCACCCTCTCTACCTTTCCCCACTTCCACAACCTCACCCGGCTCTGCCACTGTCTCACACAGCAAGTCACCGAAACCCTCATACATGCATTCATAACATCGAGGCTCGACTATGCAAATTCCCTGCTTGTCGGCTTCCCCAACTCCTCCCTCCATAGGCTGCAGGTCACCCAGAACTCTGCAGCCCGTGTCCTCTCCCGCACCAGGCTCCGCGACCCTATCACCCCCATCCTCCACTGGCTTCCCATTACACAGAGGATGCAGTTCAAGATCCTGGTCCTCACCTTAATGGCTTTGCTTCCCCCTACCGCTGCCATCTTCTAACCCTCCACCAATCTGCCCGCTCCGCTCCAGCCTGCTTCAGGTCCCCCACCTCGCCTGCGCCACCATTGGTGAGCGAGCCTTCTGCCACTCTGCCCCCCCCATGTAGGACTCCATCCCGCAGTCCCTCCATCTTGCCTCCTTCAAGACCTGTCTCAAGACCCTCCTCTTCGACCATGCCTTTGGTCACCCTCCTTCTCCCTGATCCTAACCCCCAGCTCGGGTCCGAAACATTGATTGTTCTGCACCTTGGGATGTCCTCCCAACGTGAAAGGCTCTATTCAAATGTAATTTTGCTGTTCTTGCACAAAAATGACTTTGGAGTAGGATTGGAAGTATCAATCTACTATGACATCTTCCTCCATTTGTGAAAAAAGATTTTAAAATGCCCTTTTTTGTCCATTTATTGGAAAAAAATTTAGACACCACTGCTCTTAAACCATTTAGAAGTAAAACAAATCCTGAAATGTGTGTTCACCCTGAATATGTGCATACACACAAAACATGGAGAAAACCACTTTCTTTTTAAAACAACCAATGTTTTAATGAAAAAGCTTTTTTTTTTAATCAGTGTACATGCATAACAGCAGGTATCGAAAGGTTTCACCTTTACCCTCCTTTCTAGTGTTTAATAAATCTTCACACTCTTAACACTGATCCAAGCACATGAATTTGCACGTTAGAGAATATATTGCACTTGAAACCTCCAAGCAACTCTCATCCACAAAACATAATAATTGAAACACCTCACTTATTCTTTGCCTCCTTCCTCTTCCTAATTCATGCACACATTTTCCACCAAGAAAATTTCATATTAAAGTTAGTTTTCAGAAAGAAAAGGAACTAAAATAACACTAAGGCTTTGTAGGGAAAATATACTGAATTTTCTGTTATACAAACTTCTTGATGCTTTTTTGTGCTTGCGGCCTGCAAATCAGTTATTCATCCTCTTCATTCTCTTGCCCAGACCCTTCTGAACGGTCACCTTCTAACCGATCTGTGCAACAGAGAACAGATAGTAACAATATACTACTCAAAATTATCTTAGGTGCTAATCCAGAAACACTCAGAATTAAAAAGGTTAATGCTGCTTTTATACGTATTTTTAATTCCAGTTAGCTACCCAATTTGAAGGTTTTTTTTAAGGGTCTACAACCATAATTGAGCTACAACCATAATCTATAGCAGTGGAAGGTGCAGAAGAAAACTAATTTGAAAAATTCCTGACATTAGACAGATGAGAAAATTAGTAATTCAAAAAGTGAAATACAGAGAAATTTAATTTTACTTTTAATTGCTAATTTTTCCTTCTCTGGGATAATGCACCATTCTCTGAGTCAAGGAGGATAGGGTGGACAGGTGAAGGTTGACCACGCAACTGTTTCCAAAGTGTAGTAATAAGATACTATTAGAGAACTGAATAGTCTAGTACTTGTGCTATGAAGTGCAGCAACACTTACCAGTTCTAATGTGATTGAGTGAAGCCAACATTCTGAGCATAAAAGATGCTGGGACTGTGATGGTGTTCCTGGTTTCTTCCAACATCAATTCATTGCGACTTATCACCTATCATTTATAAAAGGAGGAAGCCATTTGTAGTACTTAAAGCTTTTTTTTGGTTATGAAGGAAATGTTTACATTGAATTTAAGTTAGCAGAAGTCAGCAGAAGCCCACAGGGGCTGTTCTATGCAACCGCTGTTCCTTGCAATTTTGATACAATTTCAAATAATGAAAGGACTTAAAGGAATAATTCAAATGAACGCATACCTTGAAAAATAGGCAGGTTTCATTTTATATAGTCCTAATAATATGAATGTATTATCACGATAAATAGATTGCTTGTAAAATATTGTCTATTTGAGCCAGAAGACAAAGTCTAGTAATTGCATTTGAGATCACATCGAGACATCTCAAAGAGCTTCACAGGATTTTACTGTAAATTAAAGTAATGACTATTTTGTGGGCAAAACGCAGTAGCCAGTTGTGCACAGCAATGTCCCACAAACAGCCATGGAGTGAGCCACAGAGAGTTTTATTTGGAAGATTATTGGGCAGGACACCAAGAGAAACTCCCTTATTTTTTTTGAATGGTGCCATGGGATCTTCTTGTCCACCTGAACAGGCAGATGGGACCTTGGTTTAATGTCTCATCCGAAGTAAGCCAACATTATTAATGTATTATAAGAATATAAGAAATGCTAGATGAAAAAAGACCAAGGTCCATCTAGTTTGCCTTCCACCTTCCTGGTGGTCACATGCATATATGTCCAAACTACCTATGTACTATATCCCATGTTATTTCCTAAAAGAAAACTAATCTATGTTTGAAAGAATCAACACTTCCTACTTCAATCATCTCCCTAGGAAGCCTGTTCCACAGGTTCACTATTCACTCACTGAAATAGTGTTTGCATAGATTCATTCTGAATTTACCCCCTTTCAATCGCAGCCTGTGTTCTCTGATTTTACTATGCTGGAACGTTGAAACAGTCCGTCGTGATCTTTATCGTCTCGCCCCTTTAGAATCTTAAAGACAGCAATGTTGTTGAATCTGTGCTTTGTTATACTATACTACGTTCCAAGAATACCAGCAATTTGTGAAATACATCTAGATGTAGATCTGTTTACAGTGGCAGCATGGTGCAGGATATGTGATCATTAGCCCAAGTGGGATGGAACTCATGCTAACAAGCCCTCCTCCTGTTGAGATACTGATCTCAGCTTTGTTGTCATGATCCTATGTCCTTTGCTGAAGGATGGGGAAATTGAAGGGAGAACTATCACAAGCCTAGTTGCTGGTTGCAGAGTAGCACTGCTGGATGCCTGGGAGCAAGTGAAAACCTAACAGGATAGATTTCTGATGGTGCCAGTCTGGAGTTAGTAAGAATGGTTTCAGAGAGAAAACAAACGTCTAAAAAAAAGAAAATTGCAGAAGGATTTAAAATTTGTGTCCACACCTTTAAAATTATTGTTTAGATTATTGAGCTATTTTCAGCAGTACCAGCTAGCAAATGAGACAATACTTTCAGAAAGTAATTTGTTTTAAATAAGTTTAGAGAAACTAACTATATGCCATCACACTGAATTTCATAAGAATTGCTTCACCTACCAATTTAGAAATGCATATTTTGAAAGTGTTTAAGATAAATAGTAATAAAACAGTTAACATACTTCATCTGCCAGTTTTCTGTCAAAGGCAGGCATACCCTCCAGTGGTGTCCATATCTTGATGTCATAATCTATGCCAGAGGATGCCAGAACTATGAAGAGAAGCAGTAATTACAAACTAATGCACATTCTGAAATAAAGACACCAAACATAACTGTAAACATGGCCTACAACTGAATATTTGGACACAATCAATAAAATATCACAAGCTGCATAATGCATTCTTAACATAATGCATTCTTAACAAACTACATCAGGTACTCCATTCACTTATAGGTGCAGTGCAATGTGCTCTGCTTTGAATTTTTAAACATTTCACTCTAAAGATTTACCCTTTGAACCTTCAGTAAAGGCACATCACATTTCCGTATAACTACTAAAAGGCAATCAGAATTAAATAAATAATGATTATGCTCATATTTAATATTATGCCTACAACATTGAAATATCTAAAATGTTAGATTATTGGCACCCAACAGGTGGGTGTGTGTGTGTGGGGGTTGGGGGGTGGGGGGGAGAAGAGAAGATACCAATTTTATTTGGGGAGCGAACAACTACTTACTTGGATCAAAAGGATGAGGTTGCAGACAGTTTACCACATGGTTGTCAGCTTCCAATAACATCAGTAGCTCAGCTGTCTGCCGATCCCATATGAATATATGACCACAGTCTGAACCACTAATTACATAATAATTACCCCAGAAGTTGGCTTCTTTGATCTGAATCCAAAACAAAGTCAATTATCATTGTGCATCCCTATGGCAAAAAAGCATCCCTTTTACATTTGTTTAGAAAACAAAGCGTTTTAATAATTTGGTTCACCATTGTTCTGGAGTTACGATGCCCTTTGTACACCATTTTTATTGTAGGTTTTCTTATGTTTTGAGCCTCTAGTTCTTCCATTTCATTCTTTTCTTTCCTTCTTCTGAATAACTCCTGGATACGGGCAGCTGCAGAACGCCTGTTTGGCAGGTGGTTGTAATTCAATACAAAAAGTAGAACGAGAAGAAATTAGTTGTTTCAATGCAAAATAAAATAATTATCTTTCTTGGCCTATCTAGCTCATAATTCAAAACAAACTCAAAATTTTTAGAAAATTATGTAATGTAAAACAGACTTATTCTTAACTTTTGAAGGGATATCAGTTCCTGGCTTCATTTAGATAAGTGCAGGAGGATCACTTCAATAATAATCCTTGCATTTGATGTAGCACTCTTCATGTCTTCTAGACGTCTCAGAGGGCTTCACAGAATATACTGTAAAGTGAATTGACTGTATATTTGTGGGCAAAACGCAGCAGCCAATTGTGCACAGCAGCGTCCCACAAACAGTCGTGGATTAAAGTGATTAATTTATTAATTTTTTTTGAGGGATTATTATTAGGCGTGTGGAAACTTGGTTTCACCTTGCCGGGAATCGAACCCAGGTCTCTCGCTTGTGAGCCAAGTGCTCTAACCACTGAGCTACAGGACTCCACGAGTAGCATGTAAAACAGTGTTCTGCACTCCTCTGAATTTCTGGTCCATGTAATGCTATATTTGCACAGTTCCTAGCAGCAAAATCTGGCAGCCTAAACAGCAGTATAATGATATCACATTACAATACTGGAATCCTCTATTGCCCTATTATGCACAATGGACTCTTATAAGAAGCAACGTTTAGTTTTGCCTTTAAAATAAGATGCAATTGGAAGAGAGTTTGAACTGTCCAGTAATTAATTACGTAATAATAATCCTTGCGTTTGATATGCACCTTATCAAGTCTTCGCGATGTCTCAAAGCGCTTCACAGAATATACCACTATCTAGAATACCTGATCGCTGGATCAGACTGTGAGGCAGTGTTTTCAGTAACCGACCTGTTCTCAGTTCTCCAGTCCAATGCACATATTTAAGATCAATGCAGTGATTAACATATATTTTGAGGTAACTCACTGCATTCATCTTAAATATTTTGAGGTAACAATATCACCACTTCAGCCTAGTGAAGAGTACAGAATGAGCTGCCACCAGTTTTAGGATTCAGTTGTCAATTTATAACTGCATTGTTCTGATCTATAATCAATAGTTTTTCGACTTTGTTTAAATATTTAATATTATAAAGACCAAGTATGCATTAGAAAGCAGAATTTTAATATTTTTAACAATTCTAGTTATCACACTACTTGGATATTAATAAAAACCTTCTCAAATCCCCAAACAAGTTACTTTATAGAAGGCAGAATTTGAAAGAGGGTTGGGTCATAAAATCAATACTGTCATTTTCCAGAACCGGGATTGAACAGTAAAACAGATTACAGTATCAAGTGAGGCACTTCATGGTTTTATGCAATACCCAGAAGAATTAAGCAACTAGTCAATACTGTAGTTTCTTTCAAACACAGTATTCTTTCTGTCAATCTTTAATTTTTTTCAATATTTATTTCCCTAAACTTCACATTTTTGTGCATGAGTTAGGACATGTTAAGTAAACAAATGACAGTTTCTTGATTTAATAGCCTAGTGTACAGCCATTCCAGCCCCGCAATCAGAAAACAAAACGTTAGCAGTTCGTGAATTCAAGACGAGGAGATACAAAAGTAAAATGTTGACATGCAATTAAGCAACACATTATAATGTGTCATGCTGGTAAACTGTATACTGCCTTTCTGCTGTAATATACATGATCATGATTAGTGTTATCAATACAGTACAACTGGCACCAATTGTGAACATGACATTGATTGTTATACTGTCATGGGGGAGCTTCAGAAATCAACTACACTGCACTTACTTAGACATTTGCTTTTGAAACAATTGTTCTCTGGCTAAACTGCATATCAAGTTTAAAAATTAACATGATCCTTTAGCAATTAATTTTTTTAATGTATAGGCAGTAATAAGTTTCTGGGAAAACATTTGCTAAATATGTAAACTAAGCTTTCCACTCTTGAAGATTTGTTTTGTGTAGTGTGACTGTTTTCAGTAATAAAACTTCAGCAAAACAATTCTCAGAAGACAAATTTGAACCATCACTGTTTAAGGCTGACATTCGCCTGCTCATAGGTGATAGAAAATGAATTGTAGATATAGTGAAAAGCAAATAAATCCTGTTATCACAACGCAGTAACATTACCACAATTAGGAAAATAAATTCCCATAATAATAATAATCCTTGCATTTGATATAGCGCTTTTCACGTCTTCTACACGTCTCAAAGCGCTTCACAGAATATGCTGTGAAGTGAATTGACCGTATATTTGTGGGCGAAATGTGGCAGCCAATTGTGCACAAGTGTTCTACAATCAGACGTGGATTGAAAATGACCATTTATTATTGTTTTTTGTTTTGGAGGGATTATTATTAGGCGTGCAGAGTAAGGAAACTTGCCCAAGGTTTCGCCCTGCCTGGAATTGAACCCAGGTGTCTTGCTTGCAAGGCGAGTGCTCTAACCACTGAGCTACAGGAATCCACACTTGTAAACACTAAGGTATTTTCTAGTTTAGAGAACAGAAAAGGTCAGTGAAGAGAACTAGGATCCATAAAGCAGAGGGAAACGAGCGGGAATGAAGCCATTACTCTGGGCAATAGTGAGACAGGAAGAGAATAAAATGGAACCGAACAACAAAAGAGAGAATTAGATAAAGTAGCAAAAGAGATTTTCTCTTTCATTGGCTCTGTACAATGGTACATGGTAAAACCTTTATGGGGTAGAGCAACCTGCACCATTCTAACTACGATACTGTTACAGTGAAGACTGATATGGAGGTATATTTGGATGGAAGCTTCCTTCCATACCTATGAAAGTCAAAAATTCACAATGTTTATTTGAGCTTAATTAAAATAATCAGTGACCAAATTTCTACTTAAACAACTTCCACCTAACGGACCAATACTATGTTATTTCAGATTATGTTTAGAGGCAGGGTTGTAGCTGGATTTTATAATAGTTGCAACAAGACTAATATTTCTTGGCAAACCAGCAGTGCCCAGCGGGAATTCTAAATATGCCCATAAAGCACAAGTCTGGGTATACTGTGAATAAATCTTCCAATGTAACCTGAAATATAAATTTTCATTAGCCTGTTAATGTATTTCATGCAAACTGAGTCCAAGGTAACATTAGTATCTTCATTCTATCACTTTTCAGATTAAAACTCAATGATAAAAATTAGAGCAGCACAGCACTATAAATGATATCCATATCACAAAAGAGCACATGCCACAAGCGTAAATGAATGTGTGCAAGGGGCAGTGGGTCAAGATCGACAATGATAACAAATAAATTGACCACCAATCAGGTTTGAAGAGACCGTATTCCTTTTTCCAGGCACATCCTGACCTAAGATGGCCAGTTAATACAGTAGTTAAAAGTTCCTGACTCTACATCACTATTTTCCAAATTTTTCCCCTCCTTTTCTGAGGCTGCATGCCGCAAGACTCGTGCTCTGCTACGATTCTTTGGGTAGCAGCAAATCGCTGAGAGAGCGTTGGCACTATTCATCACAGGTGACCCCGATCATATCTCTACTTAAATACGTCAAAATATACGTGAATGCATAAAAACACGTATTTCATTTCCAAAAGTGTGTTCTAGGTAGTGATCCGGAGTGGGAAACCTGACTTTTTTTCTCCTACCAACAGCAAATGTAACATTTTATCAGTCTTCAATTAATCTATTCCCCCTTTGCACACCAACTTTATTTACCTAGCTTTGTGGAAATGCATCTCCAACAGAGATCAAGAGGGTGAAAAAATATAACAGATACACTGAAAAGAATACGGCGATACCGGAGCCATAGAGGCAGTGTAGAGGAAAGCATCAAGGGTAATCCCCAGACTTAGAGGAATGAACAATGATTGACAAGATAGAGTATTTCAATCTTGAAAAGAGAAGTCTCAGGTGGTTCCTAATAATATCTATCCTTAAATTTCATACAGTGCCTTATCACATCTTTGAGACATCTCAAAGTGCTTCCAAGGATATATTGTAAAGTGGATAGACTGTATTTTGTAGGCAAAACAATAGAGGCATAAGATTTTAAATGGGATTGCAAAAATAAACTCAGAATACCTTCAGATGAGCCAAGGCAGCAGAACAAGAGGATACAGTTTTAGAACTACAAAGGGCAATTTCAGGACAAACAGCAGGAAATGTTTCTTTACCGAGAGGGCAATTACCCAAAGGGTAAGATTGCCAGGATGGTTGTGAATCTTTGAGAATTCTAGTGTCATTTCATAAATCTTTTCTATTAAATGTTCATTATGACATTTTAAGAGTACATTCATTAAAAGATTCATTTTTAAAGGTATTGAAACTTTCTTAATCATCAGTACAATTCCTCTTTCGAGTCATGTACCACTTCCAGATTCCATTAACTACATTTCTTATGAAAATGTGCATAGGCCACAGCTGCAATTGACCCAAAGCATGGTACAAATTGTTTTGAAAGTGCTTCTTAAAATACTCCTACAACTATTAATTAAAAATTATTTTTATAAAATACACACTTGAGATTTTGTATCCTTGCCCCATTCTATTCTTGTCACGATACGTATTACAGTTAACATGATGAGCTACCTACTCCCAGGCATTCATCTACACTATTCTAAAACTGACTAAGGCACATAGGCTAAGGACTGCATATGATTCTTCTATTGATTTTTCTTTTATGAGAAAGCACCAAACTGGTTAGTTTTAACCATCGAGCAATGCTGCAATGGAAGATTGTGCAGAAGTTTAGAATTTTTTCAGTTTGTTTTAAATTGGAAGCTGGTTTTTCCCATAGTTATTTTTAAGAATTTTCCAAAATTCTGCACAATATCAAATTTGAAAACAAGTTTTAAATGCAAGGCCCAGGAGGGCTATTAGGTTGCTGATCTCCATTTAAAGTTAAATTGCTTTGCTATGGAATTCCTGTTCTGAGTTGCAGTTGGCAAATAGTGAGCAAATACTAGGCAACAACCACAGGGAACAAATATGAAACAGATGACAAAGAGAGGGAGACAGGAGGAAGCAAACAGTAATATTACTTGTAAATAAGTTTAAAAAGTTTTCTGTTACACTCAAGTTTAAAACTGAATCTTGGATAGAAGATACAGTATGCAGTCATTAATTGTGGGTTCAAATACTATCAAACAAAATGGTACATCAGTTAAAGGGAAAATCAGTCTTAACCCAATTCCTCGTTACCACAAATCCACACATTAGGCACTATTTAGTAATCATTCTCAGGAAAGGCCAAAGAAAACCTAGAGGTGATCGTGTCATTCTAATGCAATACTAGCGTGATAAAGTTGAGAAAAAAGATTACAGCGATGCATAGGGAGCTCTGCATTATATTTAGTCAAGGAATTTCAATATTAGATGGCTAAGGATATTTGCATTGAGCAAAAGTAGGAAAACGGTCATATTTTCTTTTCATCTTAATGAGCACACATGCAGGAAACAGAAGGAGAACCGTCTCTTCAAGGGTCATCAGTTATGAGAAAAATGTGGTTTCAACTGATAACAATAACTGTTAACTGCAAAATGAAGGACCAGTAATTCCAATCTTCAGTACTGTTAAGTAGATAGAATTACCTCATTCTATCACCCACTGCCATTCCTCTGAAAGTAAATCTATCAAGGAGAAAAAGAATAAGGGCTCAGGTTATACACATGAGCAGCCTTAGATGTCATAATGCTGAGACCACATATACAGCACTCTCTCAACATCATGGAACAAAACATTTTGATAAGTTCCATATTGTATAATCATTGTTAATAAGGAGTCCCGACAACCCATCTCCTATGGCATCTGTAATGCTTTGGAGTAAGCTACCACAACTTGAATTTGATCCTAAAGGACAGGAAATATGCTTCCTATAGTGAAATGGTGAAAAATATTCCGGTTTAATTTACAATGTCATATCCTTGTCTTTTCTTACAGCTTTAAACAAATGCACAGCCCAAACGTGATAGATGTACAATCTCTTATAATCATAGCATGCTGACTGACAGCTACAAAATGTTAATCCTGTTCTATTCAGCCGAACAATGATAAGATTAGTTTGAAAGATTTGGAGGGAAAGACGAGGAACAATCACTGCAACAGCCATAGAATTCAGAATATAATATGCTCAGCAGCATGCCATTAGCTGTTTAAGGACAAATTCTGAGTCCATATTTGGTCCTTATCTCTATAAACTGAATATAGTGATTACATTTAAACTTTTTAAAAAATTCATCCTTTAAATACTGAGAATAATGAGCAAGCAATATCTCCTCCAGTGCTGAATTTCTTCCAAAATACAAGTTACCAACTAAGTGTATGATCTACAGCATGCTATAACATGGCATCATTTCATGTGGTGAAAGCAATGGAATAAAAAGATTAGTTTACCTACCTTTAGATGATATTGCCCATTACAATACAGAAACAGTTCAATCCTCCAATGAGGGAAAAGTAAAAATCATGAAGCCATTTTCTCTTGAAGACTTTTTAATCTTCCTGTACCCAAACAAACTACTTACTAGTTCCTTTTTCATGAAAACTAAGAGAAATTATGTATTCATTTGTTTTAAGCAAGCAGACCTACATAAGAGGAGGGCAAGAGTACAACATAGAAATGGAAGCAAAATGATGGGCATTCTAAGAATGTGGAAACTTCTACCCAAGGTAGGTAATTTAACTTCTTCATTTTGTTTCAAAAGTTAATTAATCCTCTAAGAGGACCAGGGTACAATGTTTGATCTGTGCCAATGTCAAACATTGGTGGATTGAGTGCTTCCTTAACAAACTGCTACGTGCAAGTGTTGGGGCTCACCTTGTAAATTCTGCATATTGTAAGAAATATTGTAGTCCAAATTATAGTTAAGACTTTCATCAAATGTGATTAACTCTTCAATACAGAATGTATTCTGGAATCAATTCGTCAAATTGTTTAGGGAATGTGTAATGTACCCGCAGGCAACTAATAAAGTCAGGTATCCTCACATCAGAACCTATACTTCAACTTGCAAGTGAATAACTAGCAGGGATATAAATGTGCTAAATGATATAGATTTCTGAAATTACCTTGTAGAGGAAATGTGGGAGGTGGTGCTCAATCATTAAACCAACTCAAATAAGGATAATTAAAAACAAAAGCAGTTATTTGCTGACACTAAATCCATGGAAATACTTATTTTCCAAGTTTGAAAAAGAAAATTGCTTAAAGCTGTTGGTTCAAAAATTAGATACACAAGTTATTGCAACATTAAGATCAAACCAAACTCTAAATGAAAAGCAGGGTTTTCGAGAATCTTCATAAGAAAATTACAGGGTGTTATCTTACAGGTAAGTTCTAAATGGGAATAATACCTGCATTTGATATAGCGCCTTATCACATCTTTGAGACATCTCAAAGCGCTTCACAGAACATACTGTAAAGTGAATTGACTATATTTTGTGGGATGGAGTATACAGAAGTGGGTGCAGGCCATAGAGTAAACGTAAGCCCTTGTCCAGGAAGATTTGCAAGTGTTCAGGAATAAATAAAAACACAAACAACAATCTTGAACTTGCTCTCAAGCCACCGCAAGGCAAAAAATGTTCCAAGCTCAAATCAGGCTTTAAGGAATATGTAATTGCTCTTGACCAGTACACAAGACAGAACTCGGCTCATTCTGTTTGGATATCTTGAAGGATCATTGGGTAATGAAGAAAAGGGTACAGGAATTTTCCTTGCCCAAATTATAAAGCAACATTACTGTCGTCCTGAATTAGTGAACAGAATTCTTCAGTTTTGTAATCAGAGCAGAGTGGTCTGCAAAATACCACAAATGCAACTGTGAGATCCCAGTCAGAGAGATATGAAACTTGCAAATGCACACATTTGGACCAATTAATTTTGTAGTCGACTATCATGTATGCACCACATGCCCTGGAAAGTATAATATTTTCTTTTCCAAGTACAAATGTGTAGAGCTTTCTCCAGGTTGAACAAAACTCTTACACTACAATGGAGTTTTTCACAAAATTGAATGATTGCAAGGATATCATGTGACACGAGAATGCCATTGGATTTGTCCATTATTTGTCCATTATGGCTGGAGCTAAATTTCAGCCCTTCCACGTGGAACATATAGCTAATGGAATGGATTATCAAGGAACACTGGTTGACATGCTGCTAAATTCTATTACTTAGCAGCACTTGGCTCAGCAGAAATGCTTAGCAGCAAAACTACCGCTGTTGTATTCAAATAATGAAGTAAGCTCTTCTGCTCTTCTCAGACACTTGGTAGACTCAATTGATAGATTGTTGTGTCTTGACCGTCTCAAATGAGAAATCATATCTAATAAGATACAGAAATAATCGAATGAAGCTTCAATAATGAACCAAGACAATAAATTAATCTCCCAGCCTAATCTTTAAAAGTACAATACATATGAAAACACTGGCACTGTGAATGATTCAATTGAGAAGAATCCATGTATACATCAAAGACTGGGTGCCAGAGAAATGCTTTTTCACCCGAGTGGACATGACTGGTCGCAGAACAATAATAATAATCCTTGCATTTGATTTGGCGCCTAATCACATCTTTGAGACATCTTAAAGCGCTTCACAGAATAAAGTAAATTGACTGTATATTTTGTAGGCGAAGGATAGTAAACAACAGTACATTTGTATAGTGCTTTTCACATCGGGAGGACATCCCAAAGCGCTGGACAGTCAGCGTTTCGGACCCGAACTGGGGGTCAGGATTAGGGAGGGTGAGGGGTGGGGGGGGGGGCGATCGAAACCATGGTCGAAGAGGAGATTAAACTACTTCATACAATATATTGAGCTTCAAAATTAGTGTTTATGCCATGTTGCTCAGCAATACCAGACAGCCTATTAGTACTAAGGAAATCAAGTAAAATTGCTTTAACCATTTCTTGAGGAGCTTAATCCTCTCTTCTGGCAATACACAATACAGATAATATCTTAGTCAGTCTCTACAACTGCTCTGGTCAAAAGACATCTCCCTAAAGTGCAATTGTCGGGACTGTAAGTGAGGTTAGCTCCTGGTGCAGGGTGAAGATCCAGACCATATTGTTTCCAGAAGGCTTACTTTCCATGTTTAAGCCTTTCTAACATTTTGAAGCAATAAAGAGATGCTTCAAGGTAGTGTTGTTTGAAAGGTGGTGTCAGTAAGTATCATGTCTTTCCAAGGCTGGGTAGGTCCTGTGAGAAATGGCAAACCTTAAAACCCAGCAAAGGCATATTGTAATGTTGAAACAAAGAACTTGCTGTTTTCCAAGTGAAGTATGCAGATCAAATAGTCAAAGAAAGACTATTTCTGGCTTACAACCCTAAATATTCCAAACTTTCCAACTACCTATCTAAATAGGTCAAAATAACATCAAGACAAAGACATATTAAAATTCTACAAATAGAGAAACTCTTCCTCTCATTCACTAGCAGACAATAATAAATACTTGCATTTGATATAGCACTTTCACATCTTTGAGACATCTCAAAGCGGTTTAGAGATACAGTGGCAAGTAACCAGAGTAGAAGGATTTATATAGGCGCAAGAAGGGGAGATTATGTGACTTACCCTGAGGTATATTTAAAACTTCAAAAGATAGTGTCCTTCTGATTTCTGTCACTGGATGATTGGGCTGTTCCTGTAGTGTGTGGAGGAGGAAGCAACTTATTCCCTTATATCACAATTCTAGGATCAATTATTAACAATCATCAGGTTGGTACCAATTGTAGCTCAACGAGCCAAATATCTTCCTTTCCTGCAATTTCTAGTGTTCTACAAGGAGAAGAAACAACTTTTGAAATAACTCCTGCACATTTGTTCTCATCAAGGTGAATAATGTAACCATTTTCTACTTTTGGCACACAGTCAGCATCAAGCTAAGTTAGACTGTTATTTTTAGTCCAATCTGTGTAAGACTGTGGGTACTTTTTCCAATGTGGGCCCACATCCACTAGAGATAGGGTTGAGACATTCCAACTCATTTTACTTAAGATCTTTACAGCTGCAGAGATGTGACTTCAATCACTTCAGTCTGGACTAAATTTAAATTGCACAGACCGAATGCAATATCCACTTTTTTTTTTGCAAAAAGTTTAAATGTAATTGAACGACAATGACTACTCACAATTTACAATACAATAATAATAGCTTTGTACAAATATGCTCATCACTAGCTATAGCAGTCTATTTCAACCAACTATAAAGGGCACTGAATGACAAGACAAGGCCACACTATCTATTACTGAGGGAATACTGAGAGTTCAATCTATTAAAATCTTCCTAGGATTATTGTGAAATGTGCAAGGCTGTTGGTCTCAAAACTGTTGAATAACATACTCATGTGTTAGACACAAGATGGTGCTATCTGTTCTCCAAATGCTCACTGCAATACCCAGCCCCGAATAAAAACAATTTCTGATAGAAACAAAGCTTTTTTCTTTACAAATTGAATTTTCTTTTCACCAAATTAACTGTAGTAATACATAAACTATCCCATTCTTGCAACTAATAGTGAAGAAAAAAAACATTGCACAGACATCAGTATGGAAATATTTAGGTTGTACTTATCGAGTTTTGATTAATTGTATTAATCTATTGAGTTCAGATTAGTTGTATCTATTTGGTTCACAGATTGCACCCCTATTTAAAGAAAAAAATTACTTATTTTCAAGGATTAGACTGTAATAATAAATTAAGAGACTTTGGTGAAATTATAACACTAATATTTGCATTGTGAAACTGGTATCAAAATTATTTAAAGTAGTCTAAATATTTATGGCTTGCCTCTCCACTGTACAATACCGGTCTAATAAACATGTTAGCAAAAATACTTGTGCAAAAAGTCTTTCAATTTTTTGTCTTAAGGTGTTTTTATTCCTAGTTTTGATGCACTCTACTTTACTCAACTGTAAAAATACTTTAACTGATAAGACAATTCAATGGTAACTATTAATGTGCTTAGGCTGAAACTTATTTTATTTCTAGTTAACTGTGAAAGGCTTCAGATAGACTTCATTTTTTTATTCTGTTCCAAGCTTACAAGGTTCCTTTGCAGTGCTTCTGTGGTATACAAAATTGTGGCTGCACTCATTTGTTTTGTTCTTACAGGCAGCAAGAACTTGCATTTTTATAGCACCTTCTCACATTGAAACATCTCAGATTGCTTCAGGAGTGATTAGTGGCAATGGTGGTTTCCTCTTTCTCTAGTCCTTTGCGACATTAAGGGCTCACAAATAACCATAGTGCAAATGACAAATTATCCTGTAATATTGTTGGCCACAATATTTGGAGAAACTACATTCACCCTTTGAATAGAGTTATGTGCTATTTAGGGTCTATCTGAAAACGCAGATTCTTGGTTTTAATGTTTTGTCTCAATGGTGGCACTTCTAGCAATGTAGCACTTCCCCAGTGCTGCATTGGAGTGTCAGCTCATGTTCAATATTGGGCTAAATGCATAATCAGAGTGTTTCTGTACTATATTAGCAATAAGCTCTGAAGAAACAGCATATTACTGTAATCGTAGGAGAGCAGAGTGAGTATTCTGGAAGAATGATCAAATAGTGTGATGGGTCTTCATCCAAATCTCTTTTGTGATGATCAAAATATAGCAGAAGTATTGGAGTGCTGTATTGTCAAAGGTGCTGTCCCTCAGATGAAACATCTGCTTGTTCAGTTGAACCTTAAAGATCCCATGGTACAATTCGAAAAGAGAAGGGACTTTTCTCGGTGTGCTGGCTAACAATCCCCGAGATAAAAGGTAGTCATTCATTTCATGGCTCTTTGTGGGACATTACTGTGTGAAAATTGGCTGCCTTGTTAACCACAAAATACAGTCACTATATTTTGTGGTATGTCCTGTGGAGCAAACGCTTTGAGAAGTCCGCGCAAAGTGATAAGGTGCCATATCAAATGCAAGGATTATTTATCATTGTGATAATGTCACGATAACACTTTATGCAAAAGGTTGAGCTCTACTCCTTAAAAACGGGTGATTTCCAAAATGTTAAGAAATTTCATTTTACAAATTCAAAGCAGAAAAGTAAATGTAAACAAATGCAAAATACTGCAGATGCTGCAAATCTGAAAAGAAAAACAGAAGTCGCTGGGAACACTCAGCAGGTCAGGCAGCATCTATGGGGAAAGGAAAGTGAGTCAAATTTCGGGTCCAGGACCCTTCGTAAGAACTGGGGCATGTTAAGAGGGAGAGGCTTTTAAGGGCTGACAGAGAGGGGGAAGGCAGGGCAAGTAAGACAAAGGAGAAAATGGAGTAGAGGACAGGGGATGATGGGTTAAAAAGATGTTCAAAGGAGAGCAGAGATAAAGGGAAGAATGAAAGTCACGTTGAAGAGAAGAAGCCCTTAAAAGCCTCTCCCTAAACTAAATGTGTGCAAGATGATTTTCTGGATAAGTACGTTTCCAGCCCAACAAGAAAGGAAGCAGGGCTGGATCTAGTTCTGGGTATGAAGTGGAGCACGTTTCAATAGAAGAGCATCTGGACAACAATGATCACAATATCATAAGGTTTAGAGTAATATGGAAAGGGACAAGGAACAATCAAAGGTGAAGATACTCAACTGGAAGAGGGGTAATTTCAGCGAGTTAAAAAGGGACCTAGCCAAGGTGGACTGGAAAGAAAGATTGGTAGGTAAAACAGCTAACGAACAATGGGAGCTTTCAAGGAGGAGATAGTTCAGGGACAGAACAAATACATTCCCACAAAGGGGAAAGGTAGGGCATCCAAACCTCCCTGGATGAATAAAGAAATTGGAATCAAAATAAAACAGAAATAGGAGGCTTATGATAAATGTCAGGTCCAAAATACCAAAGATAATCAAATAGAATATAGAAGTACAGAGGAGAACTGAAAAAGGAAATAAGAGGCACAGAGATTGTATGAGAAAAGATTAGTGGGTAACATAAAAGGGAACCGTAAAGTATTTTATAAGCATATCAAGAATAAAATCTTAGTCAAGGGTAGGAAGGGTCCAATTAGGGACCAAAGAGGAAATCTTCTTGTAGAAGCAGAGGGCATAGCTAACATACTGAATGAGTACTTTGCATCTGTCTTCACAAAAGAAGAGGTTGCAGCCAATGCCACAATATCAGAGGAGAGGGTAGAGAAATTGGATAGGATAAGAATAAACAGAGAGGAGCTACTAAAAAGGTTGATGGTGCTCAAGGTAGATAAGTTGTCCAGATGGGATGCATCCTAGGTTACTGAGGGAAGTAAGGGTGTAAATAGCAGAGGCTCTGGCCACAATCTTTCAATCCTTCTTGGACACCAGAGTGGTGCCAGAGGACAGAAGGATTGCAAATATTACTCTCTTGTACAAAAATGATCAGAAAGATAAACCCAGGAACCACAGGCCAGTCAGCCTAACATCGGTAGAGGGGAAATTTCTAGAGACTAATCCAGCGAAAAAAAAATTTCACTTAGAAAAATATGGGTTAATAAAGGACATCCAACAAGAATTTGTTCAAGGCAAATCTTGTCTAACAAACCTGATAAGAGTTGTTTTAAAGTAACAGAGAGGGTGGATGAAGGTAGTGCAGTTGATGTAGTTTATATGGATTTTCAAAAGGCATTTGATAAAGTGCTACATAAGAGAATTGTAAGTAAAATAGAAGCCCAAAGGGACAGTGGCAGCATGGATACAAAACTGGCTGGGAGACAGAGAGTTGTGGTAAATGGTTGCCTTTCTAACTGGAGGCAAGTGTTCAGTGGTGTCCCCCAGGGGTCAGTATTGGGACCACTGCTCTTTTTGATCAATATAAATGACCTGGACTTGGGTATATGAAGTACAATTTCGAAGTTTATAGATGATACTAATCCAGGAAAAGTAGAAAGCGGTGAGGAGGATAGTAGCACTGCAAGAGGATATAGAGAGACTGGTAACATGGGCAGACACGTGGCAGATGAAGTTTAATGTGGAGAAAATGCAAAGTGATGCATTTTGGGAGGAAGAATGAGGAGAGGCAATATAAGCTGATGGTACAATCTTAAAGGGGGTGAAGAAACAGAGAGACCTGGGGCTCATATAAGTAAATCTTTGAAGGTGGCAGGACAGGTAGATAAAGCTGTTAAAAAAGCAAACGGGATACTAGGCTTTATAAATAGGGGCATAAAATACAGGAAATTAGGAAATTATGATGCACCTTTATAAAACACTGGTTAGGCTTCAGCCAGAATACTGTGTTCAATTCACACTTTAGGAAAGATGTCAAGGCTTTGGAGAAGATGTAAAGGAGATTTACCAGGATGGTACCAGGAATGAGGGACTTCAGTTGTGAGGAGAAGCTAGGATTATTCTCCTTGGAGCAGAGAATTTTAAGAGGAGACGTAATAGAAGTTTTCAAAATTATGAGGGATTCGATAGGGAGAACAAGAAGAAACTATTTCCACTGGCGGATGGATCCGTAACCTGACGGCACCGAATTAAAATAGTTGTTAAAAGAAACAAAGAAGAGGCGAGGAGAATCTTTTTTCACACAGCGAGTTGTTCGGATCTGGAATGCATTACTTGAAAGGGTGGTAGAAGCCGACTAGTTAACAACTTTTAAGAGAAGTAGATAATTATTTGGGGGGGATAAGATTGTAGGGCTATGGGGAGAGAGTGGAGGAGTGGGATTGATTTGGATAGCTCTTTTAAAAGAGCCGGCAGACATGATGGGCCAAATGGCCTCCTTCTGTGTTGTATTATATTATGATGGCACTATTTGAAAGAGAAACAAGATTTTTCTGGTGCCCTAGCCAACAATTCTCCAAATAAAATGGGCATTCGTCTTGTGGCTGTTTGTTGGACCTTGCTGTGCACTCGAAATGACTGCCACGAATGCCTACAAAAAAAGCTACTGCACTTAATAATAATTAAAATAAAACAATTTGAGTCACTTTGATGCAACAAAATGCTAGTTTGTCTTGTATGTTATTAGTTCAAAAGTGGCTCAAATTACTTGTTTAAGATTCATGGATGATTCAGTATGTTGAGCACATATTCATTTTTTAAATATTAAGAATTATATACCTATGTCCTGGTCCTGACCGAAACCTTGCAGATGGAATTAAAATAGGATCGTCATCACTGTCATCTGTTTCCCGAGTAACAGCTCTGGTCGACTCATCCCGATTAGTCGGTGTCACTGGTTCCAACGGCTGATTGGACTCAGTTATTCTGTTGCAGTTCTCATTGCTTTCTGTGCTTTGAAGCAAAGCATCTTCTTCCTGCTGTTCATTTCCCCCATCTGGACCTGCTGGGATACTGCGGCAGATATCATCCTCTTTATTCTTGCTCTCCTCTATTGCACCTACTTCTTTACTGGTTTCATCTGCCTCCACATGTCGGACCTTGCATGTTCGTTTACCTGACTGCTCAGACAGTTCACTTGTCGAACTATCTGCAAGGAAACAGATACTCAGTTATCCAATAAACAAGTTAGTAGTTGCATAGACCTTAGACTTAAATTCAGTTTCAAAAACTCAAGCACTGGTATTCTAACGCTGAACCTGAAACCATGTTCTTAGCAATAAGACCATTATTATGGATGTGTATAATTTTTGAATATTCTTACATTCAATCTTAATGTAGAAGCTAGTTTTCTGGAATTGATTCTAAAAGGTCCAGATTTCAAGTTAAGACTGAACTGAAGAATTTTCCAAAATTCTGCAGAATCTTAAATTTTAAAGCAATGGTCTTCAAGCTAAGACCAGGGGAACCTTTGGGTGTCTGATCTCCACAACAACGCTGGTGCTTGTTGGGATGATTTAGCTGCCCTGCAACTATAAACCAGAATCCTATCTTTCCCAGTAAATCACTCTCTGATTAGCCATCAACATTCTCAGTAGCTGCCAGAATGGCATCAGCAACTGTCATTTTTGGGTACAAGAGCAGAAAGTGAAGGATTAAAATTTCTGTAAATATAAAATGTGAAAACAAATAATCAGGACTCAAAAGGATAACACAATCAGATTGATCACATTCTGTCCCAAGTAAATGAGCCTCCCACAAGCATGGCTGGTCGATTGATAAAGCAATTGTATCTCCTGAACATTTCTGGCATTAGAAAATGCTTGTATTACCAAAATAAATAACTTTAATCATGGTAAATTTTAGCAAACTTATCCAAAAGTATACTGAAACACGATTTATTTCAGTCTTCTGGTATTTTGATGAAACTAGAAGGCTATTTCACATTTTTACAATCCAGTACCCAAGTGACGAGTCTTACTTGATTTTGTGAGTTCTTCTGTTAGTTCTCCAGCGCTTTGTAAATGTTGGGTTTCTTCTGGATCATTTTTCTTGAATTGAATTTCACTTCCCCTTGAACCTGAACTGCTCCTGGTAATTCAGTAAAAGATCTGTCAAACCAGCCCTGCAAATATCTCTCAAACTAATGTATCGTAGACAGAAACATAATGTTCACTTCCATATTAATCAGTCTAAATAATTAGTTTTATTATTCACTGTTCATTAAATAAATGTGTGTGAACCACGAGAAGCAGCCAACAACAAACAAACACTTTAGCTTTGCTATTTTCTGTGTAAACTCAATAACCCCTCAAATACTCAAAATAAAATTTCTGAATGATTTTTTCACAACTTCTGACTGGTGGATGGCATGGACAAAGGTTCGATGGATGAAAAACGAAAGAAATATTAAGATGAAAATCTCGTTCCCCCACAAATCAGGCAAATGCTTGACATAGCTGATAAGCAGATTGGACAACCAATTCCTGAGCAACTGACTAATCTGCAAATTCAAGGTCTCCCTAACAATTTTCACTATCATAAAGATGTATTGCAACTTTCTAGTTAAGTAACCTTTGAGGACAGTAAACTTAAGTATAATCCTTACATTTGCTATCTCGTCTTTCACTTCTTGAGGCCATCTCAAAGTGTTCCACAGGAACTATAAAAGTGGAATGACTGTGCATTGTAAGAGTGAACTCTTAGAAGTTACATCCCCCCAAATAAGTGTTTTGCACACAGTTTAAAGTCACCAAATAATATTAAGTATAAGGGAAGATTTGTATATCTGTCAGGTTTTAGCGCACCGAGATGCTATCCTGCATAAAGGGCACTATATAAATGCAAATTGTTGATTATGCTTTTGCATGCAGAAACTTAAACATTAAGATGATGAGTCAAAATAGACATATTATGAAGACGATGCTTGCAAAATTGCTGGAGTAAGCTAAACACTACACGTACCACTCATCAGTAAAGTCCAGTTTGATTGTACTTGTAGTAGTTCCCTCTGTACTGTAATGCAGACTAAGAACTGGCTCACTGCCCCCTGTTCGTGTGCTGGAATCAGGATGACTGCCTGCAAAAAAAAGATTGTCACATCAGAGAAATATCTTAAATAAGGATGACTGGATATTTGTTACTCGTTTTACAGCATGGAGATTTTTATTTATAACAGGACCAAGACAAAAAGCTTTTTTACATTTTTGTCATCATTCCAGAATATTTTTCTAAGAATGACTACTCTTCAAATTTTGTTTGAAATATAACCTTTTTTTACTCAAGCTCCTTTATCACTCTTTACAGAATATGTACCATATTGGAAATAAGGCAAAACATCAATCCTTCAGCAATCAATTTCATGCTAGGCTGGTGGTAATTTTTCATAACTCGAAAAGAAAATCAACTGGTCACCCAGCTTCCTTCTGCTCTAACAACAAACTATACATTGAACAACTTCAACAGTTTAAACAAAACAGCCAACAAGAAAATCAGGCAATATCCAAGATAGGATATTATCTACTTCTCAATTGCTTTTTGCTATTTCTAGCTACAAAATGGGAGCAGAGAAATTGGTGGATTCTTCCCACACTTGGTAATGAAGAGAAGAGGGGAAGTTCACACAAGTAACAATCTTAGTTTTACAACAAGTACAAAGGCACTGCTCATGCGAATAAATAGAGAAAAATATTTTGAACCTAATGAGTTATTAGATACAGGAGTGGAATTTTACAGCTTTAGTATGTTGGGAGTGTACACACTTGTACACACTTTGATATGGAGGAGGGAAAGAGGAGGAGGCAACTAGAACAAAAATAGATGGAAAATATGATGTACAGGAAAAGTCTGATCAGAACTAGAGCACAGAAAAGGTGAAATATATGATCTATCGCACAGTTGCCTTTTTAATTTAACATATTTTGGATTTTAAAAATCACTAAAGGCCCAAGATAATAAAAGGCAGTAGTATTCCAGGATATTCTTTGCAGGAGCACACGTAGGGATTCCAACATTTAATGTTCTATAGGATGACAGAAAGTCCACTTAGCAAGCTTAATGAAAAATTAGTTAAACTAATTGGTAGCTAGTTTGTGTTCATACATCATAGATGATCAGACATGACAAAAAATTTCCTTTGTTTTTGTATCAGGGAAGGGATGATAAAATGAAAGGAGAGAGGAAATGAAGGGATTATGGAGAAGAAGGTAAAAAAAACAACTATTTGAGAATGTTATGTTCATCAACAGAAGGAATGACTGATGGGAAACAACATTTTGGAACGGTCACATTGGTGCATGTTCTGACATTGCGATTCAGGAAGGCTGTTAGAGCTTAAAATGTAGGCAGGTCTGCAGAAATGCTGTTCTGTTTCTGTGGATTGGCCACTCAGTTCTGTAATTTTTCAGTGAATACTAACCTAAATACCAAACCAGTCTAATACATTATAAACATCTACATCCCTTTCTTCCTTCTACTTTTATTTTCTCAGTCCGTTTTTTATTTTAGTTTGATTGTTTTCTATCTTATACCTTTCTAAACTTTTGTTGAAACTTTAAATCTTCCCTACCTCCACTTCCCTTTTCCCAATGCCTATTTGGGAATTTAAAATGCCTAATCATAAACAGTTATTGCATCAGCTGAAAACAGCTTTAGAGCCTATTTAAAGCTAAATTCACTTAGGCCAATATTTGATGCAAAAAACCACAGCAGCCACAAAACAAGTTGTCATTTGGAAACCACTTAGTTACCAAGTTTATTGTTTCTCCAGACAGAAATCATCCCTAGAACATTACGATCATCTTTGCACTCCAAGGAAGGACTGACCAGGACCAGACACAAGAAGTTTAAACCTGCTTTGATCCCATTAATACACAACTCAAGAAAGGCTGATGTTAGAGGTGAAAAAGAACCATTATTTTTTCACTATTTTTCAGTATAAGGTCTTTAAGAGCTTAGTACAAGCGAGGCTCTAGCTTTCAAATTGTACATCATATGCAAGTTATTTCAACTTTTTAAAAATCTTCATACTGCTGATAGTAATCAAATAACGGTACTCGATGTTCATTCAAGTAAAAAAAGACTGAAGCGATAACAATGCACCACAAAAGTACCATGGAAATAAAAAGGAAAACAATTCTTCACACAACAGATGAAGTACTGGAGGAATTAATAAAGAAATATGCGTTTGTTACACATATCTCTTTCTGCACGCACCCTCTTGCTCATCAAGTGACATGGATCCAAGCTGTTTGTTTACCACAGAAGAAGGAGAATCTGAAACAAAAATTAGATTTAACTTAAAAATTTAAAATGCATTTTAGCAGATATTTCTCCAAGCAAAGAAAAGACACAAAGCTGTGTATAGTTTTTTTTAAAAAAAAACTATTTTCTGCAAGCAAGTGAAATAACTGGAAGCTTTATGCTGTGTGGTATGGAATGTAAACTAGAACAGCCACAAAAATAGATTAGTTTTCCTAAATCTAAAGCACCCAATTAATGCTGTGAGGTATGGATTTTTCAAAATTCAATAGTTTCTCTATGCATCATTTCCTCCACTTTGGAACTGGGGTGAAAGGGGAGGCGGTTTAAGGAATGAGAAAAAACAGATGGTACATTGGGTTAGCACAATGGCCTTTCACCCATAAATTCTGGATTTGAATCCAGCTCAGATTAAAATCTGTTCTCACGTAAAAAGGGTCCAATGCAAAGAGTCTTAACCCATTTTCTAGTGGGCGTGAGCTCACTGCACAAAAATGTCCTTAATGTGGGAAGCAAAAACAGAATGCCACAGGATGTGGAGGTTAGGACTTTGTTGTTGAGATAGAGTAGAACTCATTTATCTGCGCTATAGCTGATCTGAAAATTATTTATTCCAACATTAAAACCTTAACATTCTTCAACTTAAGGAGCTCAAAAATCAAAACACTCAATGGAGATGCTGTAACTCTCTTCTGTACTGGGCGTAAATAAATACTGGTTTCCCATTTTCTACCCATGCTGACTCCCACTGGAAGATTTTAAAATATACAGTGGATGTAAATAGCGTCAGGCTCAGGAAACATATTTCTTATGGTTGATTAGCCTGTCAAATGCATTAGAGTTCTTGTAAGTGTATACATGGGGTTCCTTATTTTTGTCTAGAGATAAATTTTTTAGCGTTTGGGCCCATTGTCCGACTAATCCGTTGGAAAAAAGTATGTGGGGCGTTTATTACCTGTGAAAGCAATTTGGGACGTCCTTCCAAAATGGAAGGTGTTATGTATATGTAAATTCATATTGTATTTAATTGAAATCATGCCTAGTATAGGCTTCCAGAGTGTTGTACGCAGAGAAAACAGAATACAAAACTAGGTACTATATTGGCCGCACGGTGATCTTGACACACTGTTAAATCTCAGTCAACAATTCATTGCTCCCAGAACAGGAAACCCAAGTTTATGAAATTTCATTTTGCAAAATTACTTTGAATCAATATTAATATAAATATTTTTAAATTAAATATATTTACTTCGAAATAGCTTTTTAAAAAAAAGCTGCACTATTACATAATATCTAAAGAAAGTAACTTGCCTTCATGAGAGAAACTTGAAAATCAGCATTTGGGAACAGCCAGAATGCCAGTTAGATGTGCCTGGACTAGTAATACTCAATACTATCTGAGGACAAACCAGGCCTGATTCAAGCGTTATCCGATTGGCAGCCATTTTGCTGCGTGTATGAAACACCAATAAACAGGTTTTCATCATTAGAACTGCTAAGCAGGAACCAAAATGACATGTGTTGAAGTTGGGGGAGAGGAACATCAAGAAAGAAGTGATAAATAGGACATTTTCAAGGATTCTGTGCTAATGATAATAATCCTTGCATTTGATATAGCGGCTTATAATGTCCTTGAGACATCTCAAAGCACTTCACTGAATATACTGTAAAATGAATTGACTGTACCTGTTGGTGGAAGGGAGAGGTGTATAGTACTTCCCTGCCCTCCGAGCATACACAATATCAGTCTTCTTGATCAGAAAAGTAGGAGCAAGCAGTAATTTAGAGCATACAGCAGCATTTACTATAGAGAACATTAGCATAGTGAAACTCAATTCAGAGTAATAAAGAGCCTACTGTTGAAATCACTTACCTTACAACTGAATCACAATTCTAGTTCAACTGTATTATAACTTGCTTATAGCAAAAAGCTGAAATCTAAAAACTAATTTATTGTTTAGATTTTCAAGAGTGATGCTAATATAATGCTTCTGAAAAGTCTTGCTGCAATGTTCAGCTGTGGAACACAGGAAATCCCTGCCGTATTGCATTTTGCGTTTCGCCCACAAATGTACTTTATGGTATATTCTGTGAAGCACTTTGAATATGCTATATCAAATGCAAGGACTATTATTTTAAATCAACATTTCAATCTATTAACAAGCCATCTCCAGGGTCCATATATTAGGTTAAAAACAGGAATCTGCTTAAATTGACCTCAACATAGTTTAGCATCTAAAGAGAATTAAAAATAACTTGCTTTTTTATAGTTGCATATCAGGTCAACATGATTTTAAAAGGTTTATATTAGTAACTGTCAAGTGTAATGACTGATTTTGTACACACCTGTATCAACCATTTGAGCAAGCTAAGATCCCACAAATACTATTGAACTGAATGCCCAATTCACCTGGAGGACTATTGGCTAGCACATTGAGCAAAAACTCCCTTCTCATTTCGAATAATGACATGGAATCTTTAACATCCGCAAAAGAACAGGTAGACCATTATCTGAAGGATGTCACCTTGATAAGGCACTGCTTTTCTAGTATCGTACTAGAGCATCAACCTTCCGATCTGGAGTTGAGTGATACCAGCTGAGACAAGCAACACATAAACCGTGTCCTGACTTTCAATGACTTGAACAACAACAAAGTGGAAAAGACCACATTGAGCACTGAAGAAGTGACCTAATCAAGATCTCCAGCAGTGCCTTTTACTTTTCATCTATTACTCTTTTACCATGTCTCTCAAACATACAACAACATCCACATCACTGACACCATTTTGCCTCCTGGAGTAATATAGTACAACTTAAGCACTCTGAGATGCTACTCCAATTGAAGAATGCTACATAAATGCAAATTGTTGTGGTAATTTGCCCATGGTTCTGCTGAATGCAACTGTTAAAATGTTATTTTATTAATCTATTTAAAATATTCCTGGTCATAGTTAAAAATAATTCAAGACTTCTAATAGTCACATCTTCCATTATTATTTTATCGCCTTTTTGTATATAATTGCTTGTATAGCATCTCCTTTGAATACCACGGCCTAGTGTTTAGTAAACATATTAGTGATATGGTTCATCTGAAAAATGTTTAAATGCAAGCACATTGAAAAATTACTGAAGCCAAAAAAACCGAGTGAATTTAAAATTTTAAAAACTAAAATCAGGTAAAAGTTGTTTACAACCAATTGAATTTTACTGAAAAGATGACTACTTAATTGGTGAAATATCAGTTTAAAAAAAACTTTAAAACGTATAAATATTTCACAACTGTAGTCCAATTCTGAGCCAAATTCAGGCAAATTTAGTAATTTATTATTTCAAAATAAACCACATATTTTGTGCTCATTCACAGCCAATTTTCTTCCTTGGTGTCTGACATAATTATTTACTTTGTTTAATTGCATTTATCTATAGATGTAACTATGCACTTTTTAAAAAAAAACAAAAGCAAATGTCACCCTCTAGAGGCATTTGACAAATTGCTTGCTTCATCATAAAAACACCATTTTGCAAGCTCCACTCTATTGTGCCTCTTACAGGATGCCTGAATCACCAAACCATGCTACCAAGGAACAGGTGATTAGAACTCATTATTTTCTTCCTGAAAAACTGCAGCGTACAATTTATAATTGTAAGATGATGCATCTGATGCAAAGAAGTTAATCAGACTTTAGCAAGTATTTTCTAGGCATTAATTACAAGATGTAAAGGGTGCTATATAACAACAACGATTACATTTGTATAGCGCCTTTCACGTCAGGGGTCGCCCCAAGGCGCTGGACAGTGTACAGCATTAAGTGGCTATTTTAATGATAGATTTAGGGGCACATTTCTTATTAACTGAATGGGAGTATATTATATAAACATGTATTTGGCTCCTCTACTCCAGTGAATGTTTTATCCTTCAGGCTATACTTCAATGGCCTTTCTGCCAAAATATAGTATCTCACAATTATACGCATTAAACAGCAACTGCCTCTTGCCGAACCATTTCTCTAGTCTATCAATGTCCTAGTGAAGTATTATGGAATCCTTTTTGACAATATTCCAATCCTCCCAATTAAGCGACATCAACAAATTTAGATGCAATGTCTCTTACTTCCATTCCAAGTAAGTGATGTACATGGTAAAAGCCTACACAGCACAGGCCTGTGGAGCACAACATTAGTACGTCCTGTCAGTCTGAGCAGCACCCATTGATTCCCACTTCATGCACTTGGAGCTAAGAATTAGTCTCCAATGAATCGTTCCATGTCCCTCTGATAAGCCAGATATGGTTGTTGCATGTGAGGTTTCGGACAATGACTCCCAACAACTCCTCTCTACCTCCATCAGATATTTCACCAGAGTCAATTTGACTCCACTCCCAAGGAGGATAATCACAAGTTGGTTAAGAATATCTGTCCTTCGGATGAGACGTTTAAACCTAGGTCCGATCTGCCTGTCAAGTGAATGTTAAAGATCCCATTGCACTATTCGAAAAGAGAAGGGAGTTTCTCTTGGTGTCCTGGCCAACAATTCCCCAAATAAAATTGGTCACTCATGGCTGTTTGTGGGACATTGTTGTGAGTAACTGGCTGCCTTGTTTTTCTCACAAAATACAGTCAATCCATTTTAGTGTATCCTGTACACTGTAAAGTGGATTGATTTTAAGATAGCTCAATGCCGTGATAAGGCACTATATTAAATACAAGGATTATTAATCTCTCGCTATGTATGTATATTCAATCCAGATTTTAAGGGAAGATCTATCTCAATGCTTCCCCCGCCCCAGCTCTAAGGAGCAACTGCCTATGCTGCATAGCATTTGATCTCGATCCTGTTCCCAATCTGAGAATGAGTTAATCAGTGAAGCTTTCATAGCCTTTACTAGAATTCTATTCTTCATCATAATGAGATTCTGTTCTAAGTGACTACTTGCATGCTAAATTTATGGTGCTTTAAATTTGGTATGAATAAACCCAAGGGCATCAATTGTTTCAATCTAGGTCAGGTAGCATATATAGTATTTTCAACCAACTAGACCTAAATTCACTCAATTTCACAGCAAACAAAAGTTCAGCGTTTAACTTCTATATTACCCAATCTCCCTCAAATATGTATATGGGAAATCAAAACAGAGTTGGATATTGAAAATTCAAAGTTCTTTGCAACAGATCCTCCACATTAAGTGTACTCCTTACTCAAGTTAAGACATTATGGTTCATGAGTAAAACCACAACCATTCCCTCTTTCACCCCCAAAAAGTATTTCACTTTTCACTAAATTACTTTTCATAAGTTATTGGGAAACAGATCTCTTTTTAGAACAAATACTAGTGCCTATCTCAAATTCAGGTAGTGACAACAACAAACAAGAGAACTGAACTTTAGAAACATTTGCTTTTGCATTGGGATCGAATATGCAACCCCTAAGAGTAGGAGTGAACATCATGTTAGTCAAAGTAAATACTGGAGCAGAGTTCCCATGGGTTGGTGTGATGTATTTCCAGTTACCTCCAATAATCACTATTAGTGATTCCCATTATGAATTCCAGGAAATATTCTCTTAGGGATATTTTAACCTAAATAACTTCAAATCACGTCAAAATGTAATTGCATGCACAAGAGACACTCAGTTGTAAACAAACAGATGTTTCTGTAAAACATCTGAGGAACCAGCATTATCTTCTACAGAAATATGTTAGGTTAGGTGGTAAAGACCCCCCCACCACCCCATCTTTCTTCCCTCCCCCCATCCCACCCACATCTAAATGAAGTTTGCATGCTTACCCATTTCGACTTATTTACTGTTGGAAAGCAGAATTGATTCAGCACATTCAATCGGTTATCCTACCTAACTTCAGTTACTTTGATAAGTGGGAAATGGATTAGATGGAAAAACAGTAGGGGCTAAGTCAAACAGCAACCTGAATATTTAGAGTGCAGTGAGGAGCCTTCATGGGTGAAATGATCAGAGGTAGACTTTGATGGGGATTTCTGCATCAGATCTTGCTGTTTTTGTTCGGCCTTCAGAAGTCTCAGTTGCTGTAGGCGTCTACTGACTAAACTTACCCCAGGTGATCGATTGGGCTGAGGTTTTAATTCTGACAGACAGAAAGAGTGAATGACAGAAACAAAAACAAAGAGTCAGATGTAAAAGAAAGACAATGAACCAAAGAAGGAAAAGAACAGTTTGCTTGTATTTAAGCAATTATAATCAGATAAAAACAAATTCAGAAAGAATATCAATGTTCCCTGTTAAAGTTGATGATGTTGGAGTCAATGTAATACTTCGCAATTGAGCAAAGCTACGGTCTGTACAAGGTCATGCAATTTAAGCATCTTATCTACAGGCACATGTCAGGTAGTAATATTATAAAATTGTTTATAATACTGATACTGTATATCAATTGTGCCAGAGATTTAATTCTCCAAGCTGGAACAAACTTTTTTTTTTAAAAAACATTTTGTGCAAAAGGTATATTACATAGATTGTATTTTCATTTTTTAAAAAAATAATAGAACCTCTGACCTCTGTTATTAACCTAAGTAGAGAATGTAAGCACACAGATTAGTGGGTAACATGACTTATTCCCCTGTTCAAGTGCCAATGCTTGAAAGCAATACCAACATGATAAAAAACAGATTTGGTTACAATCAGCTAAACACTATGATTCAAGTGGCAGAGAGAGAAAAAAACAGCTCTTTTCTCTTAAGATGCTTTCATACTACCAGTCAAGTTAAAACTCACACTACCAACTTTCCCACATCCTATTCAGTGCTTGACAGTCTTGCAAGTTCCTTCCCACCTAAGAATGTGGATCAATCATTTTTGATCCGAAAAAAGCAGCGATGGAGGGTGAAATATTATTTAAAGAATGTGAAGTTAATAAAACTTTTCCCTTATCCTACATGTACTATATAATACTCAAAAACAGTGTTACAATAGGGCTAAAACATCTGCATTACAGCTGCCCTAAAAATATGCTTAGCTGATAAATTCAAACAATTCTAATCAACAACTTTGAATCTGGTGCAACAATCTCAAGGTTTGCCTAGAATCTAACCATGGTTTTTGTTTAACAGACTTCACTTCAAGGATGCATCTTAACATTGGAAGGACCTTCTTCATCCATTCTTTTTGTGATCTTGTGAAATTATTTAGTATGCATCGCACAAACATTTAAGCAAGATGCTGTTTGGTAACCAAGTTTCCCGGTACCCTGGGACTGTAAGAGACAAATCTGTCAGCTTCTCCTTTTTGAAATCTAAACTGTGATGGATTTATAGTCTTATGCTGGAATCCCATCTTGTGATTCAGCTGTTTCACCCTCAAAATAGCTAATCCTGACGAGATAAATAAATAATAATCCCTATTTTGATATATCGCCTTATTACATCGTTGAGCTGTCTCAAAGCGCTTCATGGGATACAACATTTTGCGTAAATACAGTATTTTGTGGGCAGAATGCAGCAGTCCATTTGCATACAGCAGTGTCCCACAAACAGCCATGGAGCAAGTGACCAATTTCACTATGCCTATCAAAAAGGACCCCTCTTGAAAGGTATAAGGAACAAGACTAATTTTCAGAAAACTTATTTGCAGAAGTACAGTATTCACAATAACAGAATGGAACATCTTGCGATTCTACAAAGAAGAAGGTCTCTTACAATTTGTGAAAATTCAGTTCTAGGTATGCAAGTCTTATTACAAATGACCAAAGATTCTATGATTATATAAAGGGCTCGTCATGAAAACCATCTGATTTTGTGTTAAACTAATAATTTCTAATATTTAGAAATCTAAATGATAGATGTGTAGACTACATTAGTTTAACAAGCCAGCTACATTTTATGGTGAAGATTTAGATACGTGATCCTCTTAACATAAAACTACTATGATGGGAAACTGTAATGTATGATTGACCCCATCATACACTCAACTGATCAAAAGTGAAAGGATGATTCAACACGAAAAAAATTCCACAATTGACAGTAGTTACATGTGAAGCATAGTTGTTACATGGAGAGAGATTTGAGCTACAAAGAAGCGAATAACCAATTAAGGAATGTTAGCCTGAAAACCTGGAGAAACTGCCTTGTCTTTTCATGTAATGTCACCTGTACATGGTAATCTAGAAGTTCTCTGAATATATTCCAATCAGCTGTAGTGAAGCTGGGAAAGAAGCTAATGGTGTTTTTAGTCATGTCACAATCATCATATGATATAAAGTTGTCATCGGTCACACATATTAATCCACGTGAATGCCAAACTTCATCTAGAGGAAAAGCATCATTATCCCACTAATCTACTCTGCTTCTGTTCTAATTGTACTGTGTGGAACTGAACTAAACAAAACAAAAATCTGCTATTCATAACAAATAATGAAAGAAAGCAGAACATTCAGACAGGAAAAAAAGGTTACTGATGCATATGTAAAGAAATGCAGGTTTTCATAGTTAAATATAATTCTGTTCCTTGTACTGTCATAAAAGCTTGCTGACAAGTCATTTAAATCACTTTGGTGATTCAAGGAGGGAAATATGACATTCCTGCAATTATAGCATTTCTGTGTCCTGATGAAATCTTCCAAAATGTTTGAAAGTACTGTTTATATAAGAAGACTTCTACATGTATGCGGATGACACCCAACTCCATCTCTCTGCCTCCACCTGCGAATTCAGGACCACTGATGTCCTGACAGAATGTCTGTCTGACATCAAGTCCTGGATGAGAGCTAACTTTCTACAGTTGAAAATTAACAAGACCGAGGCCCACCTGATTGGCTCCCATCAGAGCCTCCACACCTCAGGCACTGACAGAATGTACATCCCACCTCACTGAGCCAGTCTGGAGCCTTGGCGTCTTGTTTGTAGTGTCCTTTCTACCCCACATCTGTGGTATGACCCGCTCTGCCTTCTGACAGCTCCACAACATCACCCGGCTCCGCCACTGCCTCAACCCTCACAGCCGAAACCCTCATTCATGCAATCATCACATCTAGGCTCGATTACGCCAACTGCCTGCTTGTCAGTCTCCTCAACTCTTCACTCCACAAGCTGCAGACCATCCAGAACTCTGCAGCTCATGTCCTCTCCCGCACCAGGCTCCATGATCCCATCACCCACACCCTCTGCAGGCTCCACTGGCTCCCCATCCCCCAGAGGATAGAGTTAAAAATCCTCTTCCTCGCCTTCAAAGAGCTCCACAGCCTTGCCCCTTCCTACCTCTGTAGGCCTGCTCCACGTCCCCTACCCGCCCCACCATTGACAGTCAGGCCTACAGCCTCATCCTTTGGAACTCCATCCCACATTCCCTTCACCATGTCCCTCCCTTGCCTCTTTCAAATCACATCTCAAGACCCTCCTCTTCGACCGCAACTTTGGCCACCGTCCTACCCTCCCTGCCCTCCACGATCCCAACCCCACCCTGCTTGGGTCCAAATCCCTGACTGTCCAGCACCTTGGGACATCCTCCCAATGTGAAAAGTAATGTAATCTTGTATTGTATTAAAGCTTCAAACAATTGCAGAACATAGGCTAGAAAAATATATAGTCTTGACCTATTTTCTATAATTTCATATTGCATAAGAATAATACAAAATCTATACCTATAAACATGCTTCACAGCCCAAAAGCTAGGGATGGGCAAGTGGATCAAATACATTAGGGAATTTTTAAAAGGAAAATGTAATTACCCTTGCTTAAATAAAAGGAAAATGATCCACTGGGATTGTCAGAAGTTGTTTTTTCCAAACAGAAATTGCTGTTTTCCATTTTATCTAAAAAGTGTGTTTAAAATTGCTTCAACAACAAATGATACAATATTGCAAATGAGCAGCCATTATTGCAGACTGTTGCATACATACATGACTTTTAGTTCTTCCAGACAAGTGATGCATTTGTATATAAATATTAAGGTATATTTCTGATCCAACCCAATTTACAGCATTGAGTGCTATATCAGCAAATTTTCTGCTCTTACCTCCTTCGATGCATTAATAACTCAATAATGTAATACATATGGCAGTGTGTTCAATGCCAGGATTTTCTGGAAATTGAACTCCTTTTTATCTTATAAAAATGAACAAATACATTCTGCCAAATTAATTGGTGCAGAAAGATCACTTATCAATGCATTTTAAAAAGAGAATTGGCTTGAAAACAGTTCTAACACAGTATGCCAGGTGTTGAATATACCAGTATATTGCAATATCTGTGCCTCTTCCTGTTTTATTTAACATAACACGTAGGAGTAGGACATTCGGCCCTTCAAGCCTGTCCCGCCATTCAATCATGGCTGATCTTCTAATCTAACTCCAGCTAATAGCCTGACCCTGCCTTATCCCCATATCCCTTAATCCCTTTTGCAATAAGAAATCTATCTATCTCAGTCTTGAATATGTTCAATGACTGAGCGTCAACAGCCCTTTGGGGTAGTGAGTTCCATACATTCACCATCCTTTGAGTGAAGAAGTTCTTCCTCAACTCAGTGCGAAAGGGCTGGCCTCTGATTTTAAGGTTGTGACCCCTGGTTTTAGTTTCTCCAACCAGGGGAAACAATCTCCCATTATCTACTCTATCATGCCCTTTGATGATCTTATAGGTTTCTATAAGATCCCCTCTAATTCTTCTATTAGAGAATACAGACCCAAATTGGTCAGCCTAACCTCGTAACTCATCCCCTTCATCCCTGGTACTAACCTAGTAAATCTACTTTGCACCCCCTCCAAGGCAAGTACATCCTTCCTTAAATAAGGAGACCCAAACTGCACACAGTATTCCAGGTGTGGTCTCACCAGGGCCCTATACAGTTGCAGCAAGACTTCCCTACTCTTATGCTCTAATCCTTTCATAATGAATGCTAACATACACCTTCCTAATTGCTGCTGCCCTGCAGACTAACTTTCTGTGATTGGTGTACAAGGACACCCAAGTCCCTCTGGACGCTAACACATTCCAATCTCAATTTTAAATTGTTTTCCTTTAATGCAACATTTTGAAATGAACTGGGTAAACCAATCTTTCAAATTGGGAGGAATTCAAGGCTTACATTTTCAATGTCACTCATTAAGTAATTGAGTGAATATCTGAAACTCAACATGAAATTATAAGAGGCGTTGCTGATCATCTTGATTATTGCATTGCTATTTGTTCACAACTATGACAGCATTTATTTACTCTAAGAATATAATAAAGCAAGTAAACCAAAGCAATTAGAGTATTTCCTATTATTGCATTATGGTTTTACTGCTTTTCTATTGCCATGCTATGATTAAATATGCTTGCCTGAGCTTCTCTATAAGCATTGTCAATATCACGTTATGGTTGCACATAAGTTGAGTAGCACGTCTCCTTATCAGTTACCTCCCCAATTCCTTGATCACTTTGATAGGTTCGACACAGGGAGAGTTTGAAGACTTGGATATTTCTCAGAATAAAAGAATTACAGGCTAGGATCTTAACCTAAGTTAAGTTCTAAGTTACTAAGTCCTAAGTTACCTAAGTTCTCAATATCTGAGAAAGATACTAGATTCAAAAAATCTTCAGGTATTGGGCCCCTAATTATCAGAATTTTTAGTTCCATGCTCTTTTATTGGAAAAAAAAACCTTTGTGTATGCAATATAAAAAGATATTTACAGGCAGGTGTTCTCCTGACCTGACTGTGGGGGATTCTGAGTTGTCTGTGATGTACGCTTTTGTTCACCATCAGGTGAAGAAAGGAGAGAAGTAGAAGACGAGCCAGTAGCTGATGAGGATGTGGATGGAGCTGGAGCTGAAACTGTAGAAGAAGATGAAGATTGAGGGAGTGGATCAGCCGGAGTGTTAACCTCCATTGTACTCTCTCCTGTTTCATCTAGGGCACCTGGTGTGTTTGAACCCGGCACATCTGATCTACCAATATTGCCTGTAAATTAAAGAGAAACGCATAATAAATCAATCAAAATATTATTTTACTCATTCAACAACAGTGTTATTCTGTTAAAAAGTTAACTAACTAAACAGGTTTTAAAAATCAAATACTAATAATCATAATATTAAAATTAATAAAACCATTAAAAATTAATCTTAATTCATTGTATTTTATTAGTAAATAATAATTAATTACAAATATGATTTCATTATTATTTTACACTAGTAAATTTAGCAGAATGCATTTTGTTCATTTCCATAAGATAAACCAGAGTTTAAAATTAATCTAAATTAATACCAAATCATAAGTCAATGTGATTAATGAGGTCACAAGGCAAAATGAACTGAGTTTCTTTAACGAGATAGAAAAAATATTAAATCAAGATGGTCCCAATTAGAGAAGTCCTGTTATGTTACACAGATTACAGGTTTTAGGTAAAATTAGGTTTTAGAATTTTGCTTTACAAGAAAGTGTACACAAACAATGAGTGTTTCTAACAAAAGGGAAAGATCACTGAGTTTGTGTGTATATATATGAGGTGGGGGGGGAAGGGAAAGAGGTTAGCTTTCTGCTGTCCAAATATAATAATAATAATAATAATAATCCTTGCATTTGATATAGCGCTTTTCACGTCGGGAGGACGTCCCAAAGCGCTTCACAGAACACACTGTAAAGTGAATTGACTGTATATTTGTGGGCGAACGCGGCAGCCAATTGCGCACAGCAATGTCCCACAAACAGTCGTAGATTGAAAATGACCAATTTATTTATTGTTTTTGGTTTTGGAGGGATTATTATTAGGCTCTGTGTGGAGTAAGGAAACTTGCCCAAGGTTTCGCCCTCTGCCTGGAATTGAACTCAGGTCTCTCGCTTGCAAAGCGAGTGCTCTAACCACTGAGCTACAGGACTCCAAATATGGTTCTAGATGCTAACTGTGATGAGACACCACTGTGCCAAGGTGACCTGACTCTTAAAAATAGGTTTGTCCTTCAGTCATTTCTGTAATAGCTCAAAACGTTTGTTGGTGGTGTCTCTCTTAGTGGTGCTTATACTCCACCTTCATACTGAAGAGTTTCTGGCTATTTTAAAACTTATTTTAACAAGTAGTTCAACCCATCAAATCCTAGGGATTTTTTTTGTATATATTTCCTTGAATCTTGAAGGTAATTCAAGTATTAAATGCAGAACGTTCATTCATCCCCACATTTCAAATATTCATACCTTAACATGCTTCCTTCCAGACAAGAGTATTTCTTTCCTACCACCAACACCTCAAACTCAGGTTTCCCAAAATACATAAATTTTCTATTACCGTAAAACTCACATAAGTCACATCAGTTGGGACCATATCATTTAATACGATTTCACAAAATACGAGTTCTAGGCAAACTTGGGCAAGTCATAAAATCCAATTTAATCAATAATCTACACGACACATGCATACTTCAATGCAGCTGGTAAGTTCGCATATATCAATGGGTCAGCACTTAATTTCTTACAGTTCAATGCAACCAGTAAGTGCGTATTGCAGCGACAGGTCGAGACTTGATTCCATGCGCTGGTTTCAAACGGAATACTGCACATGCATCGACGGGTCAGAACTTCATTCTCCAGGATTCAATGCAGTCGGTAAGAATAATAATTGTTCTTTTTGATAAACCGCCTTTCATGTTTCAAGGACAATTCAAAGCGCTTTACAGGATTTACTGTAAAGTGTACAGACTGTTTTGTGGGTCAGCTATGCACAACAATGTCCCACAAACACCCATGGAGTCAGTAGTGGCGTTACGAGTTAGGAGATGATTTGCTTTATAAAATATGACTAGTGCAAAGAAATCTAAATGATTTTTGATAGGAAAGTGAATGGGACTTAGGTATATGTACGACTTAGACAATTTTCAATTTATAAGATAATACTTATGCAAATTTTACTGTAGCACATTCAGCATATTGCTCTCCCCCAATGGAAACTTCCCTATTTGAGTTTTTGTTCAAGTTAAAATGTTGGTACAATTCACATCAACAACAACAAAATTACATTTATAGAGCGTCTTTCATGTTGGGAGGACGTCCCAAAGCGCTGAACAGTCAGGTGTCAGGGCCCGAGCATGGGGGAGGGGTGGTGTAGGGGTGAGGGAACATGGTGACAGTTCACTTCAAAAAAATGGCCTCACCAATGGGGAGAAATTCCACCAGGGTTCAGATAAGGTAGCATTTCAAAGTAACCAGGGTTTATCTATATAAAGAAATCATCTTTAATTAAACAAAATATACCAAAAAGTGACTATTATGGTACAATGCAGTGCATGTTATGTAATATTTATGATCTGTAACAACTATGTACCTCTGGATCGTGATCTTCCCCTTCCTCTTAAATTGCTTTGCGCATTTTCGCTGGCTTCTTCAAACCACCTGGACAGCATATCTGACATGCGTTGCATTAGTGACACATTGGGACTCTGCTCTCCTGAAAGATTAAGCAATAATTTCATAGAAATCCTCTCAACAAATGTTGGTATTGGGTGTCTAAGAATAGAGTGCAGTAAAATTCAGTGGTTCTTCACTCTGATAATATACTTATTATAATAATCCTTGCATTTGATATAGCGCTTTTCACATCTTCTAGACGTCTCAAAGAGCTTCACAGAATATGCTGTAAAGTGAATTGACTGTATCTTTGTACTTTTGACAGACTATGGTTAATCGCGGACGTCCGGTAAATCGAACAAAACACCCGGCCGCGTTTCATTTGTATTCTTATTCGTTTTAAATATCCTGGCTAATTCGGACAAAATTCCTGATAATCTGGACAAAATGCCACATTGGTCGCCACTGAATGTACTCACTCGGGTCTTCTGTGCATCTCCATTCAGCCATGAGGGGCTCCTGGATGTAGATGGGAGGATCAAATTGCGATTGGCAGCGGACTCCAGCCATTCACAAGCAGCTGGAGTTGGGCTGTCAATCGGTGTCGGGGCGGGGGAACAGGGAAGAACAAGGGAGGGAATATCGCAATTGATTGACAGTTGAGCTGCTTGTGAATAGGTGCAGCCCATCCATTCACAAGCTGCTGCAGGCTGTCAATCACCTCAATGCTGCTGTTAATCGGTCTCCTTCACGTCCATTGGGAACAGCAATGGGAGGAAGCAAGCGCCGCTGCCGCTCCACTGCTGGGCGGGTAAGTACTGAACCGTAATTTGCAACGAGCAGGACAGGAAAAAAAAATGTAGCCACAATCTTAAGAGAGTTGCTGACAATCATACACCACTCTATCACCAACTTCAGGAGAAGTGGGGGTGAGGAGGGGATATACATATTCAAATAGGTTACAGTTCACTTCAGCGGTTGGGTATGAACACGGTACAGATTTGCAATCTTGCCACAACAAACAACTGCTTGGCAATGCACAATCTGGGAGTGGCAGCTAGCAATCTTGCTGTCTACTTCAGAGTCTATTCATATTTATTTATAATCAGATTGTGTGTCTCGCACCTACCCTCTTGCCCTCTTGATTGGCTCACACCAGCACCTCAGGTACTGGCAGCATCAGCATCCATGTTTCTACCTCACCAAGCCAGTAAGGAACCCGGGCGCCTTGGTCGACCTTCAACTGTCCTTTCTCCCACATATTGGTGCCATGACCCGCTCTGCCTTGCCCCACCTCTGCAACATTACCCAACTCAGCCACTGCCTCACCCCTCAGGCCGCCAAAACCCTCATACATGCATTAGTTAGCTCAAGGCTCGACTATGGAAACTCCTTCCTTGTCGATCTCCCCAACTCTTCCGTCCACAAACTGCAGATCATCCAGATCTCTGCAGCTCATGTCCTCTCCCGCACCAGGCTCTGTGATGCCATTAAACCCAGCATTGCCTGGCTCCACATCCCTCAGAGGATAGAATTCAAAATCCTGGTTCCTCACTTTCAAGGCCCTCCATGGCCTTGCCCCCTCCAACATCTCTGACCTGGTGACCTCTTATCACCTGTCCGCTCCCTCCGCTCAGCAGACTCCGGCCTGCTCCGGGTCTCCCACCCAACCATCGGTGGCCGGGTTTCAACCTCTCTGCCCCTACTCTTTGGAACTCCATCCCACAATCCCTTCACCTTGCTCACTCTCTCAGCTCCTTCAAGGCACGACTCAAGACCCTCTTCTTTATTATACTAATAAACCGACAATGTCTGTCTATCTGTCTGAGCTTCATGAAGGATCTCAACAACCGATTGACGTAGAAACATGATTTATACCTCTTCGGAAAGGTCTTGCATATGGAAGTGATATGGCCATATTTGTTTTCAGGTATCTCCTATCATTGATGGGTTATGACCTAAAATGTATTTCAGTTTTGTGTTTTTCGGTACAGCTTCGGCCACCGAGTCAAAGTGACGCTGTGGCATCCTGCAGTTACACCTGATAGCAGCGTCGGTTCCCTTATATTTATCCATCAACAAGCAGCCAAAGCAGTTAGAAATTATATCCTTTTCTCATCACATTTCATATTAAGCACTCAACTTCCTTGCAGACAGCAGCAACTGCAGGACACCTCCTTCAGGGAAATGCTCTGCACCACAAAAGCTCACTACAAAAATTATATGGTAAGACAATGTTACCATTTTGAATTTAAACACTTAATCTTGAGGATACATGGTCAATTTAAACTTATTTTAGATTCACTCTATCAAGTTAACCCTCAACTTCTTTTGGTTTCATGTTACGTTATGTATCATACATCCTATTCACAGTTTTGAATAAATCAACAGATTGCATCAGATCGACAAATTGTATAATAATTGGTCCACAGATTTTATAATTAATGAAAAGAAAACTTTACCATCTCGTTCTCGCTCACACTCTGGTCTGGCCCTTGGACCTGTATCAGACCAATCCCCTCGAAGCCTTAGACGCTTAACAGGTGGCTGACGGATCTAGAAATAATCACAAATTGGGGGCATTTAAGAGAGTGCTATTTTTAAAATACAATATACCTCAAAACATATTTTCAATATCAATGCACAATAGCATCCTGTATTTGTTAAAGAGCAGTATTGTTTTATTCTATTCATTACTGTGACAAGTAGTTCCTTAAAGAAATGTTAAATGTTAGCAAAAAAGTTATATATTTCCTTTGAAAAATAATTAGTTTAGAACTATATTGTCCTTTTTCAATTTTGGATACTGTTCACTGAAGTTGAATTAATGCTGAAATAAAAAAGTATCTTTGTTCTGGTTCTCTTCACCTTACCTGAAACCAATCTAGCTTCCTTTAAAATAATGTCAGTTTCTACATTTCCCTTCTCCAAGTCTGGGAAACTATTCCACAGGCACTGGCTCGCTTCCAGTACCTTACACAAGTCATTAGTTATATTGTGAACAATATAACAGTGAATGTTGGCACATTGTTGGGTGATGCATTAAAAGTACTGAGGAGATTTTTAAAACAAAAAGCCCATCCCCTTTCTGTAGACCTCACTCACCCCATTTAAATTTCTCAACCGTGTATCACTTTTAACTTAAAATTAAATAAATGCTTAACATTCAGATACAGTATTGTCTGTGTTTACTTCAAGTTAGCTGATCAATGAATGCCTTTGTACTAAATAGAATATTTTTGCCCCAAATAAAAAGCACCCCACCCTTTCAATCATCTTTCTAGAATTTATTTGATAATTAGATAATTATTTGGGGAGGACAAGTTTGCAGGAAAGCGCAAGGGAGTGGGATTGAATTGGATAGCTCTTCTCAAAGATCCAGCACAGACACGGTGGGCCGAATGGCCTCCTTCTATGGTGTATAATTCTATGAAATCCTCACAATGTGATCTACTGACCTCCCGATGTGATCCACAAATTCATATACAGTGCAATGTTTTTCAGTATCCAACTGCTGGCAAACTTTCTAATTGTCATAACAGCTCTTAATTATTTTCAATTGAATAGCAGTGTAACGACCAGCCAGAGTTGCTTTTTAAAACTGTCTGGCTTCCTGTGTAATGCACTGAAGTGATGTCAGTGGCAATCTGGAAGCAGGACCAGCAGCTATTTGTTTTGCGGACCCGATATAACAGTGAATAATGTTATGAATGTTAAAAACCTTGTTATAAGGGGAGCACTTTGCACAATTGTCAAAGGTGAAGAGGAGGAGCTCTAATCAAATATACTCAAATTTATATGCAATGAATTCCAGCTTCCAACTGCTGGTACGCTTTCTAATGGAAATAACAGCACTTTTCAAATATTTGAAATAATTGTAAGTACAACATAGTACAATGACCTGTCAAGAATTGCTTTTTAAAATTGACTGAACAGAATCCGACAGCACCAATGCTGTGCCACTACTACTTTCAGGTCATCTCTATCTGTGACAAACTTCCAATTTCTGAAAATCTGCATTATATTTACACTTGCTCAAATGATTTTTTAAAATTAGGCTTAGCAGAGAAGATGGTTACCTAGTGCCTACATAACAACAAACATTTATACAGCGCCCCTCACTCAAGGTATCGTCTAAGAGCGCCTGCAACACAAGCGCAACCTACATGAAGTGATGTACGCAGCAATTTTAAAACTCAGATATTGCCCATTTTGGGAGTTTGAAGCATGATTTTCAAAAAATGCTGTTTAACAAAGGAAATTGATTTTCCTCAATTTGGAGAAAATTGAGAAAAAAATCACAAATACCAATTTATGGATGCAAAATCAGGAACTGGCAAGCTTAATTATATTGCATGTTTGTGTCACCAAATGTGGAGTGAAGTTGAAGCATAAGAAGCTTGTTATGGAAAAAAACAATAGGTATGGGACTTTTAACAAATTTGCAGGATGCCCATGTTCTAATATTCTAATATTTCTTACAACTGTTCTATAAATAAACAGAGTAGGAACCAATATCACATGATGCTGATGTTCCATTTGGAAATGAATCCACATTGGTAAACATGCACAAGGCAATAAATAACAGCTGACTGATACACAGCATGGCCTTGGAAAACTATCAAGGGAGTTCCATTTAGAAGGCAATAGTGTAACCAGTGATGATCTGTTGAGGACTACAGATCCAACATAAGATACATATAGCTATTTCACAGCAACATCATTCTATCAAAATATATGCAAAAATTTTTAAACTGACAATATGGAATAATATGGATAGAATCAAACAACATTCTGTAGAAGAAGCCTGCTACAGGGACAAAAGTCAATTCAGCTTTGTCAGATGAGGTCATAACCAAGCTTAAATTAAATAGGTTGGGTTCGGATTTCTTAAAATTCGTAAACAGATTTTTGTGTTCAACAAGTAGGAAATTCTAATAGATGATCAGCCTGCACACAGTTCTTCAGATGAACCGGTTACTAATTGCCAAAAGAAACATAGGGGAGATAAGAATTTTTTTTTATGCAGAGAGTTGTTACGATCTGGAATGCACTGCCTGAAAGGGTGAAGGAAGCAGATTTCGAAAGGAAATTGGATATATACACAACAACAAAATTACATTTATATAGCTCCTTTCATGTCGGGAGGACGTCTCAAGGTGCTGGACTGTCAGAGTTTTGGACCTGAGCTGGGAGTCGGGATCGGGGAGGGTAGAGTAGGGGGGAAAAGGAGGGAAGCAAGGGAGGGGGCGAGGCAGAGGGGCTGCAGGATGGAGTCCCAGAGGGTAGGGGCAGAAGGCCTGCCTGCCAATGGTGGGGCAAGCGGGGCGGCTGGGGGGGGGGGGGAGACATGAAGCAGGCTGGAGCTTGCTGAGTGGAGGGAGTGGGCAGGATTGTAGGGGATTAGGAGGTCACAGAGATCGGGGGGAGCAAGGCCATGGAGGACTTTGAACATGAGGACCAGGATCTTGAACTGTATCCTCTGTGTGATGGGAAGCCAGCGGAGCCGGGCGAGGATGGGGGTGATAGGGTCATGGAGCCTAATGCAAGAGAGGACACGAGCTGCAGAGATCCGGATGATCTGCAGCTTATGAAGGGAGGAGTTGGGGAGTTTGCATAGTCGAGCCTCATTGTAATGAAAGCATGTATGAGGGTTTCGGCAGCCTGAGGTGTGAGACAGTGGCGGAGCCGGGCGATGTTGCTGAGGTGGGGGAAGGCAGAGCGGGTCACGGCACAGATGTGGGGTAGAAAGGACATTTGAGGGTCAAACAAGACACCAAGATTTCAGACTGGCTTAGTAAGGTGGAGTGTGCAACCATGGATGGTGATACTGTCAGCGCCTGAGGTGAGGAGGTGCTGACAGGAGCCAATCAGGAGAGCCTCGGTCTTGTTGACGTTCAACTGTAGAAAGATATCTCTTATCCAGGACTTGATGTCTGACAGACATTCTGTCAGGACAGCAGTGGTCCTGGAGTCAAGGGTGGAGGCAGAGAGATAGAGTTGGGTGTCATCCGCATACATGTGGAATTTGACCCCATGTCTGCAGATGATGTCACCAAGAGAGAGAGTATATAGATATTGAAGAGGACGGGACCAAGGACAGAGCCCTGAGCAGCGCCACATGAGACGGTGCGGGGGCTAGAGGAGAAACTTTGTGGAGATGAAGTGGAGGTGGTGTGAGAGGTACGATCTGAACCAGTCAAGGACAGAGCCGTGAAGTTTGAGGTGAGAGGTGGTGGATGAGGATAGAGTGGTCGACGGTATCAAAGGCAGCAGAGGGGTCAAGGAGGACGAGAAAGCAGAGAAGTTGATTGCAGATAGACAGAATGTCATTTTGACCAGGGCCATTTCTGTGGTGTGGGCAGCACAGAAACCTGATTGAAGGGGTTTGTGAAGGGAGTGGCGGGAGAGGAAGGATTGAAGCAATAATTTGTTCCAGGACCTTGGAGGGGAAAGGGAGGTTGGAGATAGGGCGGTAGTTTCAGAGTAGAGATGGTCCAGGGAGGGTATTTTTTAAATTTTTTTTAAGGATAGGAGTGATGACGGCCGTTTTTAATGGGGTGGGAACAGTACCAGTGAACAGGGAGAGGTTTATGATGTTCTCTATATACTTGAAAAGAAAAAAATTGCAAGGCTATGGAAAAAGAGCAGGGGAGTGGCAGTAATTAGATAGCTCTTTCAAATCGCCAGCATAGGCACGATGGGCCAAATGGCCTCCTTCTGGGCTGTAGGATTCTACGTTGGGCACGTATCCTAACTCGACATTCCCGTTTACCTCGTATTAAGCAGGACCCCAGTTGTTAGTTGATTGGCGGATAGCTTTCCAGGGGTAATAATCCCCTCAAAAAAAAAAAGAATAATTTGGCCATTCAATCCATAACTGTTTGTGGGGAAACTGCTGCATTTCAATTCACTTTACAGTATATTCTGCGAAGCTCTTTGAGATGTCTCAAAGACACGACAAGGCACTATATCAAATGCAAGGATTAATAAATAATAATTCTAATTCAGCATTTGTAGTTAATCACATCTGGGAATGGAAGTGCATGCCTCTGGGTCACCTATGGTCACTTTGTAATCTGAAACAAGGCCCTTTTTTCTCATTCTAATGATCTTGTTAGTGAACAAGGATTTTGGTAAAACTTAATTATGGTGTCCTTTTTCTTAAAATGTGCGGGTTAGAATTAAAAGGGGATTAATATTTGTAGCAACACCAACAACAGTTAGGCTATACATTTTGTTACTTTTTTTCTTAGTTGCAACATGGAAGTTTTGAAAATCATTAAATGTACAACAAATTAAAACTAGAATGTGCAGAGTAATTAACAGATGGTGCTTTAGTGCAAAGCTCCAAAGAGTTTAAATCGTTTAACAGCCTTTTATGTGTTGCAAACTAGAATTCATTTTTGTATTAAACTTCAAAAGTAGAGTGCTTTCACGATTATCAAATGTGCACAATAATCATATTCACATACTCCAGCTTTGTCAGCTTTAGATACCAACAAACACAGATTTACTTTGGCAACTTTTTGAAATGTTAAGGATTTGTTTTAAATGGTCTTCATTTAGCAGAGTTCTTTCACAAGCAACAATTGTATCCCTTGAATTCAACTCCACAATGATTTTGTTGGTTTCATAGAGGAGTATTATTTTATTTCAAGTCCTCCCAAAGAACACTTTGTTACCATTTGTAATGCTTGTATTCAGTTTCTAACAGACAGAAATAACATTTAAACTAAAATGAATTAATGGAATACAAAGCCTCCAGCTAGATACAGTGGGAGTTATTCTGTTGCGTTCACTAAGTGTGGTAAATTATCAAACTGTTCTGCTTCAAATGACCAGTTTAGTAAATTAAATCAGTTCATAATTATTAGTGCAACATCCCAAAGTTGACTTTAAAATCATAATTAAATAGAGTAGAAAATGTGTTTGTTATTTATAACCATTCAGTGACAATGAGTTAAAAACTTGGCAAGTGCAGCATTGTGTTATTGGATTAATAATCACAGAATAGCATTAGACTTGGTCTTGAGTAATTATAAAAATAAAGCAGTTGTGCTTCTTCACTCCATTTTTGAACACCGTGACTACTTGAAGTTTTAGCCAACTTTTGCTTTACTTACTTACTTTTACTTGTTTGGGATAATCATTGTTTGGGATAATCATTGCCTCTGAGCAGAATCAGAGCAGATGACCTAAAAATCCTGCCATTGGTAGTAGATTGCTGTTGGCTTCAAGTAGCCCCAGGGCCCTTTGAATGGATCTATTAGTCATGCTTATCCTCACTGTGACAGAGGATATCTACTCTAACCTTTACATATTGGGGTCAAAAAATAAGTCTAAATGAAGAAATTCCTTAAGCTTTAATTTTGCATGTGACATACCCAGAAATGCAGGTGGCATTAACCATCCCCTGCAAAATTCCTAATGCCAGCTTCTTGCAGCAAAGCTGCTCATTAGTCCTCCAGCTTGCGGCTTCTGATTGCAAGCTAGCGAGTTTGCAGCTTTCAAGTTTTAGGAAAGCCACAATCCATTAACCCACAGCTGAAAGCTGTGTGGCAAAAGACAAATGCTGCAAGGTGTTCGGCGAGGGGGGGGGTGTACATCCAGATAGGCTGTATTCACTATTAAAGAAGTCTCTTCATTTAGACCATTTCTCTGACCTTGTTTTTTCCTTCGTCCCATGAAATCCAGGAGCCACAAAATCCAAAGCTATTTACTCAGTGTATAGGCATTTTGTGTGGGTTACAACAGTTAGTTGTACTATATGTAACTCCAAAATAAAGACAACGATAAACATGTATCCAATTTCCACCCATATATCCTTTAACTTGACTTATTCAAGAATCATCAATAGGAACAAATATTAGTCAAATTTTATTTTATTATTCAGTACTAAAGCACAGTCATCTCAAGCTTGGGTTACACAGAAAGATATTTTTAGCACATCACATCACAAAGTAAACTTTATAGATCTAATTATTATTTGCATTCACCATTCTTTAATTCTTTTTATCATCATAAAGATTACTTAAAATACGTTTATGAAGTGAGAAATGCTTCTGTTTTCACCTTCACTCTAAAATCAACTTTCAGTAAAAACAACATTAACCAGTCTTTACCTAACTTTTTGACCCAACACAAATCCTCCTGTATCTGATACTATGAATTTCACCCACCTCTGGTTCTCTTCTCTCATCTGCTGAAGGTAGCTTAAGCTCTCGGCCTTGATCATCATTGGGGTTGAAAAGGTAAATGTAGTCTGAGGAGTAACTAACAAGAATTTCCTGTCCATCATTACTGTAACAGAGCGAAGTCACGCGACAAGACTTGTTAGTGAGATGGGGCGGTACAAATCTTGCACACATTCCAGTAGTTGATCGAGCATTATAACTCCCTACAAAGAAAAAAAAGAGTCCATTGTAGAATATTGAATATATTACTGGAAAACAACAGTGTTAATAGTTACTCCATGAAATGAGGCCCATGGTCAACATGAAACCTTTTTTCGTCCCGTGTCTGACATTCTTCCACAATTCTCATATAAAGCTACAAGTATAACACTTCCAGAACCACTGATAGTTTGAAATTAACCATATAAAATACAAACATTATTTTAAGAGTGTAATCAGATAGGAACAAACGTTTAAGTGGGTTGTCATTAAGGCTGGAGATTATCTGAAGGCCTGTGGCCCCATCCTTTTAAAGCACACAATTCTCTGGGACATCTATCGTTGCTTAAATTCATCATATAAAACCTGCACATCCCTGCTGCAAGCATTCCAGCAAACTTATATATGGGTCAAAGAATTCAATCATATCAGATTACAATTCAAACCTATAATTACATTTCAGCTGTTTGTGAAGGTAAATATGTTCACTATGATTCTGAATGACAAGTTCAAATCCCAAATACCTGTAGCTCTTGTGCCAAGCATTCTCCGATCATATATTCTCACAGAACTATCTGAGCAGCCAACAGACAAGTAATATGGCACCAAGGGACAGATAGCGATGGAAGTAGCAGCACGGCGACAATTGATTAGAATGTCCTGTTTACAAAAGAAGAAAAAGGTTTTTGGGAGATTGAGACAATTTGTATTGGAATTTTCAATCATTTTAGTGCTTTAATGATGCCTCCTACACATGCTGGAAGTTTTATTTTGAATACAGGTTTATGATCAGACTACAATCATCAAACAAAAAAGCCTTGCTCTCTAATTTAAAAACTGTAAGCTTGTTTAATAATTTCACATCCTGACCAGAAAGCCAGAATAACATCCAGAGCGCTTACAATTAAAATTGATGTTTTCTTTCAATTAAAAAAGGTCCTCAATACCTTATTTTTTTGTAAGGAAGATGCTGTATTCACCCAGGAAACTGCTCTTTACGTTTAGGCAAATAACTGACCAAATCATTTGTAAACTACATTATCAAGCATACTAAATATGTGCAAACTATTTATAACTTACATCTTTGCAATTTTCTTTCGTACAGCTCGTCTTCATTCTCACATCAAACCATCTAACCGTACCATCCTCGCCACATGACAGAAATGTATAAGGGTCATTTGGTACGGTCATGATCTAGAAACAAAGGCTTTTATTACTGAATAATCAAGCATTACATTTTTAATGATTTTTTAAAAATATAAGGTTCCTTATAACTTGTAATCTACAACATTAAAATAAAACTTTGGTTTAGCCTTAAGTTCTGAGTATTAAAATCTAGTTTCATTAGCCAGTGTTCTTTGTTAGCCAAACATGAGACAACAATTGAAAATTTGCAGTACCATGTTTAATTGTTTCAATGATACCACTGCATTCCCCAGCCTCATTAACACACATTGTCTGAGTTGGAGAACTTTCCAGACAGTAAAAAGCATCACCCTAGATTACGAATCAAAGATCTTTTCAGCATGTGGTTATCTTCACCTGTAAATTAACATTACCTCATAGGCTGTTCCATAGTGGCAGTTAAACTGACATTGTCTATTTGCTTCTACATCTAGCTCTATGTTGGTATAAAATATGACACCATCTCCTGAGCAGGAAATAATCTGTTTGTCATTGGTGTGTGGGAGAAATTTTGCACTAAAAATGTTTGCTCGATGTCCTGAGCGTATAGTTGAAATAACCTGAAACAAGAAAAAGAAAAACAATAGTATCAAACAACTAGAAAAAATATCTTCAGGCAAATTGAACAATACTGAATTTATAGATTTGATATGGTAGCTCTACATTCTGCCCTACTCCAAAAGAGGTTGAGCCACAGCAACCAAGCCCCTATATTCTGGAACACACAACCACTAAAACCACCACTTTGTTACACTTTTCCCTGCATCCAACAATATCCTTAGAACCCATCTCTTTCACAGTGCTTTCAGTGACTTCTAAATTCCTGCCCTTTGCCCACCGCTTCAATTGTTAAGCACTTTGGGGACATTATCTTATGTGCACGGTACTTATAATGCAATTTGTTATTATTGCAGTTAGTACTTTACAATTCCGAGTAGCTGATTAAATGGTTCTAGCTAAGATTTGGAAACAGATTACTGCCCATCATCTTAGTAACAGGAGTGCAGATACAGGCAAAGAAATGGAGACCGTTTTGCGAATATATTGGAATGAACTATGAAGCTTTTCTGGCAAAAGTATTATGGAGAGAAGGCTTTTAAAAGAACTACTCTTTTTTTGATTAACTAGGTGTCTGACAAATGTAAAAACCCACCACCATGCTTAAAAGTATCCAAACAAAACAGAATTCCACATATCTGACCTACACTTGGAAATTCCCATGTATTGGAAAGGAATGCGTATTCTCTTCCTGGTGGGATGCATGCTGCTTGCCTAATTCTGAAGAGAATCATGATCTAATTAAATGGCAGAATAAGCTTGAATGGCTGAATGACCTACTCCTGTTCCTATGTAGGCGAAGGCTGGCAAGAGCCAAGGCTTAGGAACCTCAAAGTATATGTTGGGATACTGCTAGAGTCTAACCAGCTAAAACCACATTGCCAATGAAAGTACCGTCTGGCTAGCTTTCCCGCTGCTTGTCCAGCTAGAACCACCCTACCAATAAGCGTTTTGGCTTGCAGGGTTAACTTATGCTCAAGCATAAGAAACTATTGGCAATCCCTTTAGACTATTTAACTGCTCTTCCTTAAAGACTATTTTGATAGTGTATTCTGATGTACGTTTGCATGTGAAAACTTCTTCGAACAAGGCTAACTACTTTTTTTCTTCCTGTACTTGACACAAAGTAAATTAATTTATAAAAAATACACTATGGAAACAAAGGTGCAGTAGTGAGGGATGATGTAATGGCAATTTGTTTCCAGCAAGTCGAGGCAGCCAAACACTGCGATCTGCAGTGTAGTTTTGCATCACTGCATCTTGATATTTGCTTAAACTGCGCTTCTGCTTGGACTATAACTTCACTTACCTTTCTGCTATATGGATTTGTTATTACTAGGTTGGTATCATCAGATCCTGATAGAATATATTCTCCTGTATCATTCCAGCAAATTGTATTTACCTTTTGCAAAAAGGAACACAAAAACAATTTTGAGTTGAAAATACAACAATGGAATTTTAGCCAACAGTTTACCTAATGAGAATATTCAACAAGAATAATATTATTGATACTAAAAGATTAATAAAATTAGTTGTCTTATTGAGAGTAGACTAAACATGATATTTAAAGACTCCACTATAACTTCAGCACAAAATAAATATGGAATAGGATAGATTTTTAAAATCAGATTACTAACTAAAAAAATTAGATTTAAAATCAGAAATTGATAACATTTTACAGACAGACTGATCTTTCTCCACTTCTATCCTTTGTCCATCTCAAACAAATTGCTCCCCACTGGCCATCAATACAGCCAAACAAATTGTCTGCTGCCTTGGAGAGCGACAAAAGACCACTCTAGATAGGACAATTACACTAGCTGAATGGGCTCACAGCTGTTTATGAAACCAATCCCAGCAAACACCATTAGAAATAGTAATGTAAGTTCGGGTAATAAAATTCAAGTTCAACTACTCTCTATTAGATATTCAAACAGCTATATGATGTTATCCTGATCATTATAGTTCTCAGAGGCGATTAATTTGTTTTTAGAATGTAAAAGTAAATGTTAACTACTGTACTTAGTGCACGGCAGAATGGGGGTGGGGATAGATAAAATTACAGATGCTCATAATTATGTAATTAAGAACCCAATGAAAAACACCTCCACATTGCTCCCAAAAGCTGAATTTAAAATTTACAATGAAATTCTGTTTCTGTGAAACAAAGTGATACAACTACCCCCTCCACAAGCACACACTCTTCAGACATAGGAATTCACTTTATGGATCTTTATTAGTTACAATGCATAGAGCAAGTATAGCATTTATTGGTGATCAGAGACTAAAATAATTTTATAAACCTGGGGTTGCAGACTCTTCATCTAATTGTTTTCTTCATATTGTGTTGAACATCACATTTCTGGTATGGGTTTAGAAATTGTGGCTGGCTAAGGTAACGCATGTGTGGATAAACGTTTTTGACAGACCCCAAAATGCATTTATTTTCATAATGCTCCATTAAATGAAATTCTACTTCAGTCAAAAGAAATGCTTCAGTGAAGGCCATAAACAAAATAAGTCCATTTTGCATCAGCAATATTGAGTCAGGAAGACAAACAGTGTTTCTACCAAACGTATGGTACTATTGGATTTCAGCGATTATGTTTTGAACAGAAGCAAAGCTACTTCAAACACATTAATCAAGCTGCCACACAACCTTCATACAGAAAAAAGGCTTGTATTGTGTCACTGTCCTCCCATACCAGGAGAAGTTGTAATTTGGATCAGATTCTTTATGTTCCATTTTTGGAACTCATTTTTAAATGCAGCTTTTAGGTATTGGGTGATGCAGTCCTTAATAAATTCAGCCTGTGAAAAATACTGTAGTGTGTACTTTGATTTTCATTAGCACAGCAAGTTTCAGTTTGGCACTTTTCACAAGCTGAAATCTTACAGATTCAGAAAGGATTAGAAGTTCAGTAGACAGACGATCTGAGATGGTTAGCAATGTGGTTGGTTTGTCCTAAGCAGTTACTTCATTAGCCTTTATGAAGGCCGATTATGTGAAACCATACAAAATGTTATTGCTAATTAAATATTCTAATATTTACTGAAATGACTCACTGAAAATCTAGTTAATAAATGTCTCAATTAAAATTGCATTGTGTGTTTTACAGTACAATGCCCTATTGATGCACTACGAAAATCTCAACTGGTTCAAAATGAACCCTTAGCGTGATACAAACGTGTTTAAATAGAAACGAAAAAGAAAATGCTCAGTTACCAAAATATCTGTGGGGTCTAATTTGGGGGAACTGATCAAACAATTTGAAAATGTAGACTCCTACACAGTCCCATTAGCATCTAATGCTCTGCCAGGCTGAGACTTCATTTCCAACTTCTTTGAAGTCTCAGCCTGGTGCAGTGGTAACACTAAATGCCTCTTTGTCAGAAGGGTGCGGGTTCAAGCTTGACATTAGGACTTGGAATCACAGTCTAGGCTGACACTCCAGTGCAATCCTGGGGATGTGTCGGAAGTGCCATCCTTTGGATAAGATGTGAGACATAGGTCCCATCTGCCTGTTGAGGTGGATGTTAAGGATCCCATGGCACTATTCAAAAAGAGAACTGAGTTTGACTTGTGACCTGGACAACAATCCCTCAAAATAAAATTGGTCACTCACTCCCTGGCTGTATATGGGACATTGTTGTGTTCACCTTGCTGCCACGTTTCACCCACAAAATAGTCAATCCACTTTACAGTATATACTGTGAAGCACTCTGAGACATCTCAATGATGTGATAAGGTGCTATATTAATTGCAAGGATTATTGCAAGTCGGATAGGTGGCATCCTCGGATTCTAGCACAAGTTAAGTGATGTAGATCACCACTAACAGTTTGAAAATGACATAGTTCAAAAAATACTCACACAACCATCATGCACACTCAATTTTGCTTCAAGTTTTAGCCTTTGGATGAATTCTCTTCTTCCTGTAGGGAGAACAATTACAGTTAAGATGAGGATAACATGTAGTATTTAGAGAAATATAGGAGAAATAACAAATACAATGAGTGTAGCATTCTGAAACAAAGGTTGAACAATGTCTAATAAAGAATTGAATAAAAACAAGAATACTGGAAATCAGATATACAAACTGAAAATGTTGGACATATGCAGTTATTTCGGAGTTTCAGCTGTTTTCTGACCATGAACTTTTCCTTGTTCTCAATACCTCCAGGACGCTACCCCCGTAAAGGGCACTATATAAATGCAAGTTGTTTTATATAAATGCAAGTTGCGACTTATGTTGAGTTTTACTATAATGTGAAGCAGAATAAATTCACGCTATCGCGACTTATCTCCTGGTTTCTGGAAGTGTTAAAGCTTTGGCTTATTACATTAATGACTTTCTGCCAGAAAACATCAAGTTACCATTTAATTCTGAAGATTATCATCAGTCATGAACAAAAGCTAATGTTCATAGGTAATCAGATATGATCTTACGAGCTAATTATTCATCCACAGCAGGCAATCGAGGATGTGATGCAATGTTTCTTCTAATGGCTATTTCAGGTTAAAACAGAATCACCATTTTAATTTAACTGTCTTGTACCATAACAATTCCATTAAGAACCCTTCTTAAGCTTATTTTGGAACTGTGGAGAAAAACTAACACTTTCAAATTATTTGAATACTGAGCAGCAGATATGGATGCATCAATATTGAATTAACCAAAACAACTCAGTAAAAATGCATAAAGCTAATTTAGTTATAAGCACGCTGAGATGCTGCCCCGCGTGAAGGGATTTACATAAATACAAGTTGTTGCATATAGCAAATATTTGTACCCTTGGGGTTTTAAATGCTTTTTTCCCCACAATAAAAGTATATTAGAATTACAATATATTTTTACATCCGTAATATCATTGTAGAGCACAGATTTATGTATGTTGGTGCTTCTAATTATCTGAATGCATAATACTGTAAATAATAATTATTAAATAATAATAATAATTATTATTATTAATAATTATTATTATTAATAATAATAAGTCTGAATTCAACAAACAAGATACCTGGATTACATGGTTGCTTGATTCTATTTCTAGCTTTCTCTTATCCCACGTGCATTTTTATGATCGATGTCCCTATACTGAAGTAATATGTACTACCAAAATGTTTTCCCTATCATCAGTCTGCAAATTTTCCATTGGTTCTTTTGACATCATTCAAGAATATAGCATCAATAGTGTTAGGTGTAAGAAAAATACCAGATCAAATAGCTAAATCATTAGCGTTCTCAGCAGTTCTCCAGTTACAAGATCAACGTATCATGATGAAGGAGTACGGTGAAGACTAATATTGTATTCTAGTGGATAAACCACAAAATAAATCCAAAAACAACTTCTAATCTTATTGCAGTAAGAGTTATTAAGTAAAAGGGTTAAACCTCAATCACTCCAATAAAAATTATGAGACCAAGCACAGCTTGAAAACATTTCACCAGATGTCAGGTCTTTCCCTCCCACTGCAGTTCAGTAAATTTGATCTGAGACTTCCAAGAATTGCATTCAAAAATGAAGAAATACGTTTGAAATGACGAAAATCACAAAAGCATCTGACGTTCAATTTGATTTTCATAAGATTAAATTAATCTGTAGCACGTGACTAATATGGAAAGAAACCAATGACCTTCTTTTCAGCAGCAATGCCAGCTGTCCTCCTACTGGACTCAGATTTGTACAGTGCATGCACATATATTCACAGTACTTAACATTGCTCTAGGCTGATCTATTGTGACAACTGTGGAACAACAGATTCCACATTTAGGCGTTGTATTCAACTCCCAATCCATTTGGAAATATTTAATGGATCAATATAGATTTTATAGGAGTTAAGAAGGGATATTATTCAATATATCCTTTCCCAGTGAGAGCAATTTAGTACCATCCAATCCCCATCATTAATCCAATTTTTCTCAAGTGCTGCATTGTGGAACTATTTTTATTGCTACAATCTACAAAAAAAAACTTTTTGCATTTGACATAGTGGCCTTCACGTTGGGAGGCTGTCTCAAACTTGTCATAGAATTTATTGTAAAGTGTAGTGACTACTTTGTAGGCAAATGCAACAGAGGTAAAGTGAATAAGGAGAAAGACGGAAAGAAGTAAAGCTGGTCAAGAAAACAAGGGCTCACTTAAAAAAGCAGAGGCAACAGTGGCACATACATGATAATATTGCAATAATTATTATTACAATAATAAAAATAATGGCTGGATCCTTCAATGTTGAAAATACATTTCCACAAAACAGGTTTGGATATAGTAGTATGTGAAATGAGTGCTACTTTACAGAAGCACAAAACATGAATACATTGTGTGTGTGCGCAGGCGGCATAACAAAATAGTGTCTTGACCCTATGTTAACTTTTAAAACAAATACTGTTATCATGTGATATTACTTCAAGTATCACAAAAGTATATAATGCTCAGGGTTTTCTATTGTGTTAAGACAGCAACTCTTACTACAATGTGCAATATTTGTTTTTCTATTTCTTGCATTAAAACAATCTCTTACTCCAATGTGCAATTATGTTCAATTGTACCTGTAAGGAATTGCCAGCAATATGATGTTGTGCTCTATTTTAAAGATAATCTATGTAGGTCATGAAAAGATAACGGCTGCAGAGAGAAGCTCCAGAGAGCCACAGAGATTGGCCCAAAAATTTAAAAAAGGAAAGGCCAAGCATTTCTCAACAGGGAGGGAGAGTAAGGGAAAAGACCAGCCTCCTTGGCACAGCAGTTAGACAGACACAGATCTAGAAAGGGGGAGGGGGGGGCATGACCTCTGTCACTACTTTGTTGCAGAATAAATACCATGCATAACTTTTTGGGCGCTCAATTAGGTTTTTTTTAAATATGTTTTATCAACGATAGGAGATCCCCAAATATATGCCCACAACACTTCCCTTGCAAGACCTTTCAAATGAGGTATAAATCATATCTCTACATCAATCATTAATTGCATTCTTAGCAGACAGACATTACATCGTTATTAGTGTAATATAAGACTAATGCATTATAAGACTAATGCATGTTTTACTGTATTAACATTTTAATGGGATTGAAAAAGTAAACCCAGATTAATACAGCAGGATGCAACAAGACAGTAGAACAAGAGGATGTAGGTTTAGAAGTTTTAAGGGCAATTTAGGGACAGATACCAGGAAGTTTATCTTTATTCAGAGGGCTTGGAACAGGCAGCCGAGAAAGGTGATAGAGGCCAGGATACTGGACTCATTTAAAAAAACGCTTGATGCAGTGATGGGGGTACAGTATTGTTGTATCTTTCTGCGTTGTATGATTCTAAATAGCTGATTCTAAATGGAGTCCTGTAGCTCAGTGGTTAGAGCACTCACTTTGCAAGTGAGACACCAGGTTCAATTCCAGGCAGGTCAGGGCGAAACCTTGGGCAAGTTTCCTTACTCCACACACCTAATAATAAATCCCTCCAAACCCAAACAATAATAAATTGGTCATTTTCAATCCACGACTGTTTGTGGTTCACTGCTGTGCGCAATTGGCTGACGTGTTTTGCCCACAAATATAGACAATTCACTTTACAGTCTATTCTGTGAAGCGATTTGAGACGTCGAGAAGACGTGAAAAGCACTATATCAAATGCAAGGATTATTATTATTACAGTAGGGTTTGTGTTTTGGAGAGATGAGATAAGATGAGTCTTTCAACCAAATCAAGGTTATGAAGAACCATATTTATGATGCACTTTAATTTCAGCCTAAATGTGGGTGAATAAACATTTTTTAAAAAATCACTTTACCCTGGTGGAAGTATAATTATTTCTGCATAATATTATGAAAGGCACTAAATTGATTATAAGGTTTATATTTTTTATTAGTAAATAACCAAGGAATATTCTTGCTATCATTTTTTTTCATGCACATGAGAGTTCTGCATGCAACTGAGAGCACATCAGAAAAAAACAAATTAAGTTTAATTTGTATTTCAGTTAAAGACCAGGAAATGGAGGCCTGGAAAATCCGATTGCCTTTGCCAAACATCAGCATAAAAATGTGAATGCTCATACGTCGTTAAAATAAATCACTTCAGCTTTACCAAGATCCATTTCTTAATTTTCTAATATTTTTGAAAACAGTATGAATGCTTATCTCAACTAAAACAAGAATCAAGATATACTGTCTCTTTCCCAGTATGTTTTTCTCCTATTTTCATGGAAAAAGTGTAAGCCAATTGATCATAAGAAAAGTATTTAAATATAGTCTGATCTTTGCTCAGAGAATGTTTTAAAAGTAAAATAAGTATTAGATTTTGAATAAAAAAGGCCAGACAGCTTTATATTCAAATCTCACCAATTAATCAATCAGCTATTTAATTTAAAGAAATGATTACAAAAAGATTGTTGCTTACAATGGATCTCTAGAACAATTCACTATCTTGCAAAATTTCAAACAAAGTATTTTCATACACATAATTCTACTGTTATTTGCACCATGAAACAAATGCGGGTATTAGAATAAAAGTAAGAGGCAGCATAGTAATTGTAGATCAAGTAATCAAAACTACAGTGGGGAACAGTTCTAACAAAAAAACTGAACAAAATACCTCAATCAAAACAATTCCCCACATTAATTACTAAAAATATACAGCACTGGAAATTTATGGAATACCTAAATAATTCTACTGTTCCCCTTTATGTGTACTATCTTGATTTAATCATAAAGTGTTCTTGGCAGTCCATGCTTTTAAAGACCAGAGACAAAGCAAACAGTCATCTGGCCTGAAATAAGAATGCAGGACCTGGTATGTTCCCTATCATGGCTATGCAGTCAACTGTCTACTGCCCTCTGTGTATCCCCCATTAAAATAGGTCTGCTATCACCTTATTGCTTTTTATGACGCACATCCTATATAGAGGTTACATCAAACACTATAGTCACTCTTTCCTTCCC